CACGCGATGAATGAAACTTTTTATGGTACGTAATAGCGAAGGCCGGTGGGGGAATCATGTAGGCGTCTGGGATAGGAACGCCTAGAGAGTCTCGTCAATTTCCCAGTTCGCGTCATGTGAAAAAGTAACCCTTTCACTAACGCGTGTACGGTCCTCCTCGTTCTTCCCGCTGCATGTTTGTGACTAAATCGGAGGCGCGGGATCGGAGGCTGCAGTGTCCGACGAATCGCCTGACGTCGTTTCAAGGATCGCCTGACGTCGTTTCAAGGATCGCCTGACGTCGTTTCAAGAATCGCCTGACGTCGTTTCAAGAATCGCCTCACGTCGTTTCAATCGGAATTAGCAGAAGTTCGCTTGGTGGTCGCAGTCGATCGGGAAAGGACCAACAGTACGTATGAGCGAAGGCTGTGGGGAGAGGAATCACGTAGTCGTCTAGTGTAGGAACGCCTAGCGAGTCGCGTCGCTTTACTTCTTTGCGTCATGTGTGAAATTTCCCTTCCACTAACGCATGTACCCTACCTCTCCCCTGTCCGCTCGTTCTCCCCTCTGCATGCACGCGTGTGTCTGCGGGTGCGTGTGTGTGCCTCATGGCCTCCAAGCATGCGCGTGAGTGGCGTGCGAGTGTGTGATGCATGTGTGTGCCCCGTCAGTATGTTTCAGGAGCGTCAAAAGCAGCCACGCCGTGGCGATCGTGACGGAGCAGCAGCAGCAGCAGCAGCCAAGCAACATGGCTGAAGCAGGACGCCTCAAGTGAAGGCGTGGCTCGCAGGAGTGGCAGAGAGGCGGACAATGTGAGGTACGCGCCAGGGGGTGCTTGCAGGGGGGATTGTAGTGAGTCATAGAGCGTCGCCGAGCAGAGACAAGAGTCGTGTCTCTTGCTTTTACCTCCGTCACTCGCCTCGCGCCGTTTCTAACCCTCCCTTGTTGGTGCCGCTTCTGTGTGCGTGTCTCTCTCCCCATGCGTGTGTGTGCCTCACGGTCTGCGAGCATGGGCAGCCGGAGCAACTGAGCAACCTGGAGCAACTTGGAGCAGCAGGCGTGATGGGAAGGCGTGGTGCAGGAGTGGCAGAGCAGCGGACAGAGTGTGGTACGCGCCCGGGTGTTCTTGCAGGGGGGAGTGTAGTGAGTCGTAGAGCGTCGCCGCGCAGAGGCAAGAGTCGTGTCTCCTGCTTTTACCTCCGCCACTCGCGTCGTGCTGTTTCTAACCCTCCGTTGTTGGTGCCGCTTCTGTGTGCATGTCTCTATCCCCATGCGTGTGTGTGTGTGCCTCACGGCCTACGAGCATGGGCAGCCGGAGCAACGGAGCAACCTGGAGCAACTTGGAGCAGCAGGCGTGAAGTTAATGCGTGGTGCAGGAGTGGCAAGCAGCGGACAGAGTGTGGTAGGCGCCAGTGGTTGCTTGCAGGGGGGAGTGTAGTGAGTCATAGAGCGTCGCCACGCAGAGGCAAGAGTCATGTCTTCTGCTTTGACCTCCCCCACTCGCCTCGTACTGTTTCTGACCCTCCCTTGTTCGTTCCGCTTGTGTGTGCGTGTCTCTCTCCCCATGCGTGTGTGTGTGTGCCTCACGGCCTGCGAGCATGGGCAGCCGGAGCATCGGAGCAACCTGGAGCAACTTGGAGCAGCAGGCGAGAAGGGAAGCGTGGTGCAGGAGTTGCAGAGCAGCGGACAGAATGTGGTACGCACCAGGGGGTGCTTGCAGGGGGGAGGGAATTGAGTCGTAGAGCGTCGCCGCGCAGAGGCGAGAGTCGTGTCTCTTGCTTTTACCTCCACCACTCGCCTCGTGCTGTTTCTAACCCTCCCTTGCTGGTGCCGCTTTTGTGTGCGTGTCTCTCTCCCCATGCGTGTGTGTGCCTCACGGCCTGCGAGCATGGGCAGCCGGAGCATCAGAGCAACCTGGAGCAACTTGGAGCAGCATGCGTGAAGGGAAGCGTGGTGCAGGAGTGGCAGAGCAGCAGACAGAGTGTGGTACGCGCCAAGGGGTGCTTGCAGGGGGGAGGGGAGTGAGTCGTAGAGCGTCGCCGCACAGAGGCAAGAGTCATGCCTCTTGCTTTTTCCTCCGCCACTCCCCTCGTGCTGTTTCTAACCCTCCCTTACTGGTGGGTGTCGCTTCTGTGTGCGTGTCTCTCTCCCCATGCGTGTGTGCTCCTCACGGCCTGCGAGCATGGGCAGCCGGAGCATCGGAGCAACCTGGAGCAACTTGGAGCAGCAGGAGTGAAGGGAGGGCGTGGTGCAGGAGTGGCAAGCAGCGGTCAGAGTGTGGTACGCGCCAGGGGGTGCTTGCAGGGGGGAGTGAAGTGAGTCGTAGAGCGTCGCCGCCCAGAGGCAAGAGTCGTGTCTCCTGCCACTCGCCTCGTGCCGTTTCTGACCCTCCCTTGTTCGTTCCGCTTGTGTGTGCTCTCTCCCCATGCGTGTGTGTGTGTGCTTCACGGCCTGCGAGCATGGGCAGCCGGAGCAACGGAGCAACCTGGAGAAACTTGGAGCAGCAGGCGTGAAGGGAAGCGTGGTGCAGGAGTGGCAGAGTAGTGGACAGAGTGTGGTACGCGCCAAGGGGTGCTTGCAGGGGGGAGGGAATTGAGTCGTAGAGCGTCGCCGCGCAGAGGCGAGAGTTGTGCCTCTTGCTTTTTCCTCCGCCACTCCCCTCGTGCTGTTTCTAACCCTCGCTTATTGGTGGGCGTCGCTTCTGTGTGCGTGTCTCTCTCCCCATGCGTGTGTGCTCCTTTCGGCCTACAAGCAAGGGCAGTGGCAGCAACGGAGCAACACGTCTGAAGGGAAGTTGGTACATCAAGCTCTTCCAAAGCAGGAGGTAACAAGGGGTGACGATGCCGCAGCAGCGTGAATGCACCAAGCGTTGATTCCTATCTCAGTTGTTTTTTCCATCTGCCATCTGCCATCTCTTCTGTTATGTCGCTGCTCTTTCAGATCCTCACCCGCTCATCGTCTCGCTTCTCCTCTCCTTGCTCACCTCTTGTCCTCTTCCTTGCCTTCCTTCCTCTCCAGCACTCCGGCCATACTGCCTCCCCACTATCCAGCACTCAAGGGGGCAGTGCCTGCAGCAACTCAGGGATCACCAGTGGCTGCAACAGCGGCTGGATTATGGTAAGCGCACAGGGCTAGTGTACCATTGTTCCATCAAACGTGCTTTCTCTTGTGCGTTCTTCTATTGTCTACCTGTTTTCCACAGTGCCATGTGCTGTGTCGCCGCATGTTAACGCCACGCTGATCACCTCTCAAACTCCTCCCTTCCTGTCCTCTCTGCTTCTCTGCTCTCCTCTCTTTCATCCCGTCTATCCAGCACCAGCAGCACGGGCACCAGTGGTGGTAGCAGCAGCAGCTGCAGTGGTGGCAGGGTAGCTGCAGCATCATCAACCACTGCAGTTCTTGCGGCTGCAGCAATGAACGGGTGATTTCAGCTTAACCTAGTGCGATGTTGCCTGGTTTGATCACACGCGTTCTTGTCTAGTGGTTTGATGTCCTACTCGTCTCCTTTCATCCTTGTGTTGCTCGTCCACCCCTCTTTCTGTGGCCTATTGTTACGGTGCCCTGATCTCCCTCCCCTCTCCATTCCCATTGCTGTCCCTTGTGTGCTGGTGTGCGCTATTGCTTCTTGCAAGTGACTCGCTGCTCTCTTTCCTCCCCTTTCTGCCATGTCCCATTGTTGCCCCATTGGCTGGCTCTTGTGTGGTGGAGTGCAGGGCGAGGCAAAGGAGGACTTGTGAAGCCCAGCATGGCGGTGGCCCACCAGAATCTCAACATGCACCGCTGTGGTCACTCATGCGTAGCTCTCCTTAGCTCTACTTATATGTGCTTTGGTGTGTTTCGTTGCTTAGGTGTGCTGTGCTGTGCTGGGTTGTGCGTGGATGTGGTTGAATAGGTGGGTGGGGTGGGCATTGGAAAATCTGGAAAGTGGCTGGGCACGAACACCCAAGCAGGGCAAAGTGTCCTCCTGCAGGTGCTCTGCTTCGCCATGATGCCCTGGCTCGTGCTGTGGCACGAGGAGGACAGTGGGCTCAAACACCCAATCTGGACAGAGAGTGTCCTGCATGAGGTGTGTTGCGTCATGACTCATGCTGTGCAGTAGCATTAGGAGGACTCGGGTGCTACAGGCCAAGCCGTGCACAGCACTCAGAGAGAGTGAGGATATCGAACCATGAGTTGCATGCAGCATGCCTGCACATACAGGGCCAGCCACCACGAACAGGGCACGACTGCAGGACACGAGTTGGGCATCCAAATGGGGATGGCAGGTTATGACAAGAAACAGGGATTGCTCTCATCTTGGCAGTACAGGAATCGTCAGGACTCAGAGGGTACCGTGCATAACGCAGCCGCTGTGACAAGGGAAGTAACCTCAGGTAGCAACGCTACCAGGAACTTCGGCGCAAGAGCATGTAATGGACGCTAGCCTATCTGTCAGCTGCAGTATCACTTTATTCTCCTCTGCTTGTTGCGACAGACTGAACAGAACAGACCTCCCTGACATGGATTCTGTCTTCTGGTGGCAGCATGCTATGTCCAGCGCTGCGGCCAAGATGAATTGCAACTTCTTACTGTAAAGCCATCAAGGGATGTCTATAGCAGTACCATGTGCAGAGCTGTAGAGAAGCAGCGAAGCACAAGACTCCGCTCTCGTAGAATTCTCTTGCCTTCATGGCTCACATCACACCCTTTTCTCACTCCCTCATCACACTGCTGTGCTCATGATGGATTCTGTCTTTCCCTTCCATCACCCTGCTTTTTTTTCATTTCCTTGGGTTTTACCAGCAGTTGTGGTGCGGACTTGGAAGCAAGCAGCCAGTGAGCGGCATGAGCAGAACAACAATGGGGGCATTGCAGGTTGAGTGTCTGCAGCATCTTGGCTGTAACAAAATAAACAGCCAACTCTTGTTTCACAGCAAGAAGACAGCGATAAAGAGATTGCACTCTCCTACGTATCAGCTCCCCAAATCCACCTTCACTCCCGCCCGCACCCGCTTCCTCTTCTAACCGCCCTACGGCACCCACTAATTTCCTCTTCCCCCTTCTCCTCGTGCCCCCCAATCTCCTCCTCTCCTCCACTCCCCACTCTTCCCGCCAATCTTCTCCTCCAGCCTCACCCATTCAATCTCAATGGCCTTGCTCACCCCCTTGCACATGTCATAAACAGTCAGAGCCGCCACTGCAGCAGCAGTCAATGCTTCCATTTCCACCCCAGTCCCAGCCACCGTGCTCGCCTCTGCTCTCACTGCCACCGCACACCGATCATGGTCCAAACTCAGGGTCACACCCACGTTCGATATAGGCACATTGTGGCACAGGGGGATGAGCGCGCTGGTGGCTTTTGCACCGTTGATTCCCGCGATCTGAGCGACTGTGAGGACGTCTCCCTTGGAGAGCTGGTTGGAGGCAACTAGGGGGAAGGCATGGGGGCCGAGGACAATCCGAGCGGACGCGACGGCTCGCCGGAGGGTGGGTGGCTTGTGAGATACATCGACCATGGTGGCTTTCCCGGAAGCATCCACGTGAGTTAGGCGGGAGGTAGTTGCTGCTGGTGGTGATGGTGGTGGTGGCAGTGGTGGTGATGCTGATGTTGATGTGTCATTGGTGCTTGGTGTAGTGGCTGCCATGAATGCACGTTGAGTGTTATTCACTGTATTGAGCCGCGTTTCCGTGTGGCGTGGGGAGGATTGGTAATGGGGAGTGGTTGAATCGGAGGAGGGAATTGGGTTGAGTGAGGATGAAGGGCGAGATAACGTTGACTGTGACGCTGACGGGAAACTCGGTTGTGGTGGTGACGGAGAATGGTGGGATGAGGGAGGGAACTGCGAGGGCGAGTGGGAGGGCAGAGGGTCGTCGGACGGCAGCATTCCGAAAATGGCTTCCATCTCCTGTTAGGCGCTCAACGTTGGCGTGGTAGGGAGGGTAGATATGGCAGGGAGGGCAGAGAATGGTGGGCGCACGGGTAAAAATTGGGGATAGATGGCGGGATGAGTGAGCGGGAAAGCCGGAGAGCGTGGCACGGAGGGGAGAGCGGCTAAACGAGTCACTCAACTAGAGCGTCGCCAGCTTTCTCAGCTGTTCAGCTGTTCACTTCATCACCTCATAATCCGTATCGGGTCTCGAGCCGCAAAGACCTGCAATGAAAAAGGGTAGTCTACAGTTTACAATCTAGTGGTTGCGTAGACCCAAGTGAGACGGCAGGACAGAGGCACCGCAACTACTAAGAGCTTCCGACCTGGTTAAATTCGTCCACATCGGAGGTCGTCGCACCGCTGCCAGCTGCTGTTCGCAGGGATCTTATGCGTCGCCATTGCAACGTTGCAGCCGCCTCCTGCGACGCCGCCGCGCGACACACGACGTGTGCGACTCTGCGAAACATGTCGCAGAGGGAGATCGGACGCCTGACGAGAGTTGAAAGGAGTTTGGGGAGAGGGAGCTTCGCAACAGCATGATCCAGCCCAGAGGGAAACACAAGGTTTGTACGCGTTGCAAACATGTAATCGGTGTGGCAAATTTGTTCAGCGGTAAACTATTCATATCGACCTTGGTTTCCCCAAAAAAGTCACTCGGTCATTTCTCTGGTCGGCGAGGCATATAGATTTCCGTGCTGTTGTTGAAGGAACCACCCTATTCCAGCCGAGCCGTGGAGTTAGCAGGCGATAACGAAGGATGTGTCAGGCGATAGCAAAGTGCGATGCCGGGCAATAGCGAAGTGCGATATCAGGCAGCGTGCGATGCTAAACGATAACGACGAATGATGCTAGACGATAGCGACGTGTGATGCTGTAGGGATGGAGATCGGCAACCAATCGACAGCGCAGGCAGGGGTACAACCTCCTCACGCGAACAATGCCCTTGTAGATTCCATGTCTGCGGCTCCTCAACCCTCGAGTAATACGCGCCATAAGGCGAAGCTCGCTCCGTCGTTATCGACGGTGTATGCGGGAAACCTGGACTACTCGCTTACCAACAACGACCTGCACACGCTGTTCGGTGTATTCGGACAGATCGCTAAGTGAGTGAGTGAGGAGTGTAGTGAGGGAGTGACAGAGTGAGAGAGTGCGAGAGTCTGAGTGTGATTAGGCGGGTAAATGCTCAAAGGCCGTGTGTGGTGGGTGAGGGTGGATAGCGACGTGATTAAGACGGGTGAATCAAAGCGTGAAGAGTGAGAGCGGAGGGACATTTCAGAGTGAGTAGTGAAACATGATGGTCCGATTCCTGATTACCTTAATCGTGCTCCCTTGCGTGTGCTTGTTGGCAGGGTGACAGTAATGAAGGACAAGGAGACTCGCGAGAGCAAGGGGGTGGCGTTTGTGCTCTATGTGCATAAAGAAGACGCTCTTAAAGCGGTAAGACACTTATGTCGTTTTACGTTTAAGGTGGCTTCTAAAATGGAGTTATTTTAACACGTAAGTAACATGGTATAGCTGTGTGCATGGGTGCGTTTCTGCATTTCGCACGACTGCATGTGTGCATGCGTGCATGGCAGGGCAGGTGGCAGCGATGCAAGGGAAGCGTCTGAACGGCCGAACGCTCAAAGTCAGCATCGCCAGCGACAACGGCCGGGCTGCTGAGTTCATTCGACGCAAGGTGAGCTTCTCGGATGCATGGGTCAAAACATGCGCTACAACTACTGTAGTTCTCGAGGCAGTAATTCCCCCTCGTCCCCTTGTTGCTGTCTTCCAGAAGTACAAGGACAAGAGCCGCCTTACAACTTCTGAGGTGTTTGAGGCAGAAATCCCCCCTCTTTTCCCCCGTGCTGTCTTGTCTTTTCCAGGAGTACAAGGACAAGAGCCGCTGCTACGAGTGCGGGGATGCAGGCCACCTGTCATACGAATGCCCCAAGAACCAGGTGAGGTGAGGGGGGTGCTCTGATACTGTGCGCCACTCGTGGCTGTGCTGCACGGATGAATTCACTGCAACGATGACGGTACAGGAACAGTAAATACAGTAAGATGGTGGTTCTATAACTCATTCATCTCGTACCTCAATCCCTCCATGCCTCATATGCACCCCCTCATGCATCTCTGTGCTCCTCCCTCCACCAGCTAGGCCCACGGGAGCGGCCCACTCCAAAGCGCAAGCGCAAGAGCGGTGAAAGCAGAGAGGGGGGAGGAGGGGGGCGAGGAGGTGGAAGAGGAGGAGGAAGAGACGGGGGGAGAGAAGCAGGGAGGGTGAGAAGTAGGGGAGCAGGCACGGGTGCATGTGGGAATGGAGGAGGGGAGGTGGAAGGGGGAGAGGATGAAGAGGAGGAGGAGGATGAAGAGGAGGAGGAGTTTGATGATGATGATTGGGCGTCTGCTGTGGCTCCCAGGTACCACGGTGCTCTAGCCTCACCAGTGCAGTGCTGTTACACTATAATACTGTCAACTGCACTCACATTCAATCACCCTTTATTCTTCTCAACCCTCTGTCACCTGCAATCACCCTCTCTCACCCCTTCCGCGCATCTCGCCCGCTCTCTTATCCCTGCTTGCCTCGTACATCCCGCTGTGCAGACAAAGCCTGCAAACAGATAGTTACCAGTCGACGAACAGTCGTTCAGGTCGCTCACATATCTTGTCACTTAGTTTGCTTAGAACTCTCCCGTCGCACATCCAGCCACAGCACCCACGCATGGTGCCAGCAGTGCCATCAATGCCAGCAGCGCCATAGTGCCGGCAGTGCTTACAAGCCGATGCAGTGAGTAGTACAGTTTGCCAACATACCCTTCACTCGTTCCCTCGCCCCTCTCACCTCCCACCCGAGTGCAGGCAGAGCCTACAAACGGTTGAAGCATCAATGGGAGCACATCACAGTTCAAAGCTGTCGCTCAAGGTGTGATGTAGGGTCGTCTGGCGGTGTGTGTACATCTGTTACATCTGTCTTCTTGCAATATGTGATGCGAGTAATCTGGTCTAGCATGGCATGGGTTGTAACTTGTAACATGACGCGCGGTGTGGTGCGTGCTCTGCATGCTGTGCTGTGCAGGGCCCAAAGAAGCATCGAGGCTATTTCAGCGATGAGAGTGGTGACGAAGATGATTGATATGGGCTGACACCGATTGAGAGGAAGACAATGGTGGTTGATGCCTGACTGATGTGCTATCGGTGCATGGCTTGGTAGCTGCCACAATATCGGATTGACTTCAAGCAACTCTCTTCAAGCCATGGCTCACATTCTTGAGCTTCACGTCTGGAGGAAAACACATAGGGCGCGTGATGTAATAGCTGCTACATGTATTCCCTGCACCTGGTGTGTTGACTTGTTTGTTGGATCACAAAATTTATTTTTAGCGTGATTGGAGTGGTTGTGGCTGCTTGGTGTCAATGTTGTACATCATCATTTGTGGATGCTATCATTCTAATATTACGTACACCCACCATGTTGCATACATTCTGCTTTCAAGCCTACTCTATTTGTTTCATCCCCTGGCAAGTGGACATGTCTACTTTGTTTTCAGTGTTTAGATTAATCCCTCATCATGTGTGCTGATAACAATTTGGGCCCAAGAATGGGGTACATTATTCCATCTTATCTCACATGTACCGGTATTGTTTTTAGACTTCGCAAAAAATCTCTCGGTTCGACCCCTCTGTCGGCTGGCACGATAGTTGACTTCGGCGCGGCCTAGGGAGACTGTAGTCAATCTAGGTCTGTCCAGAGTCCACCTCTAGTGCCCCACCGTTCCGTCAAACCGTCGCACACCTGCCTTCTCATTGTGCCACGTTGGCCTTAGACCTGAAAGCAGTCGTCAAGTAACACGGACGTTACAATTTCGACAGCATTTTTGGAAGAAACCGTCATTCTCTTGGCCAACTGGCCCACGCCAACCCCAAATTCGCCATCCCGACGCGCATGACAGCAAAATCGAGGCGCGATGTTTCACCCTTTCCTTTCATTGGTGGCTGATGCGGGTTTGGACGAAAACTCTAGTCCCCCCCCCCCCCCCCCAAACAACGGCCCAAATTCGCCTACCTTTTTCAGCAGCACGAGCAAGCAGGCCCCCCGTCAACGTTTCTTGCTTGCAGCATCTGCAACACAGTGCACTACAGCCTTGAAATGGCGGCAGATCCACCTGCACTTGGCTGATCTGCAAGCTAACGTGGATCTCCTGGTCTCTAGCCTCCGATGTCCCAGGTGCTGTGCTTGGCAGTCTTCGCAAGTCTCGGTTTCGCCCCCCCCCTCCTCCTGTGGTACTCCCTCCGAAGCTCACCCCTGCCGCCACTCCTGCACACAAACTTTCATGCTCTCGTTTTCGCAAGTCGTGACTCGAGAATCATAATCTAGGCTATCGCTCTCACGCACCGCCCTTCGAGGGTCGGTGACCACTCGCTCTCCCTGTCGCCACCCCACCTCGCCGTGGGTCTCGAAAGCGGATTTAGTAGCAGCGCCCTCTGGTTCCCCTTGTCCCGCAGCGCACGCACCTGAGGTTATCGTAGGACGTGCTATTTAGCAAGGTTGATGCTATTTGAGAGTATAAGGTCGCAGGTAGTAGTTCTAGAGAGACATTCAGGCCACTTGCAGTATTGCATTGAACTGTTTCTAGAATTGCGTCGTAATAACTGATAGTCTTTCTCAGCCGCCACACTGACGATTGAGAAGCGCAAATAACCTTCACATATCGTCGCAAGTACCACTGTGTTGAGCAATATCAGTCTTCATGGATACTATGAGTTTCGACCTCCTGTCACAAGAGGAGGACGATTTCTTGTTCCAACCCGTGCTCATAGGGTCAGAAACACATGATATGCTAGCAGAACCAGTAGTAGAATTCGAGCAAAGCGATGGCGAACAGGGTATCAAAGATGATGATGGCGCGGCGCTCGATGCTTCTGCGACCGATCTTGGAAACGAACAGCGCGCCTACGAGGAAATTAGAGCCCTCCTGGACGCCACGAGCGCCACGGCGAGCGCTTTAGTTTGTACCCGCGACGCGAAGGAAGGTCAAGAAGGTTCCGTTTCGCCAGGCGGCGGTAGGGCCGGGTCCGGGATAGCGTTAAGCGGAACTTTTAGCGACCCGCAGTTGGCGCTGCAGCAGCTCCAGTGGCTGGAACGCGCGTCGTGCGCTCTCACCAAGTTCCTTCCCCTTCTAGCTACGAGCATACGGGACGGCGCTACTGCTAACAGCGCCGCGAGCACCAGCGCCAAGGCGCTTCAGAAGGCCGTCACGGAGCAGGCAGCAGCAACTGCCGGCTCGCCGGGATTCGTTGCACAGATGCTTTCTGCCATGTCGGAGCCGAAAGGCGCCGTGGAGGGAGCAGACGCTTCGGACGAGCCGGCGTCGCAGCAGCAGCAGCAGCAGCGGAAGATTGCTGAAGAGGAGGAGGATGCGGCTGCGTTGTTCCAGAGCCTGCAGCGCGACATTGGCATGGTGCCAGGGGATGAGGGCAGCGACTCCACCGTGCTACAGCCGCTACGGCCGTTGTCGCAATCGCTGCCACCAGGTCACATTCTTGACATAGCTATTCCGGAAGGTGCGCCACCGGTGGAGTTTGAATACACTGGAGACAATTGCATCAGTGCAGCACCAGTGGAACTTGGTGCTGCTGCTTCAATGGCTGCAGCATATGCGTTCCCCATCGGCTCTGCTACTTCCCTGGCCGACAAAGATAATCTCAATGCGGCAAGGCCTCTCTCGTTTCGCCAGGACATGGCTGATCACAACAGCATGCGCATGGATAAGGGACCTGGGCTCCCTGCTGCTGCGCTGCTCGACAGCGTGCCATACGCCCTGCTCGCCGGAAACTCTGGATCCCTGCTTGGGTCTGCTATCCAGAATTTCACTGTTCCGTATCTGGTGCTGGAACGCTCTCAGCCTGAGCTCCCCCATGTGACGTCTACTGCAGTGGCGACGTCGCTGCTTGCACACCTGGCTGAGTCCCATCCGTCCAGCCCCGCATCAGAGACCTCTTCTGCGCCTGTTGTCGAACCTGCTGCCTTGCTTCCTCGCTACAAAGGACCCCACTATAAGGGAGTTCGCCAGAGAAGGTGGGGACGCTGGGTTGCTGAGATTCGCGAGCCACGCAGGCGTAGCCGCATTTGGTTGGGTAGCTATGATGAGCCTGAGGATGCAGCCCGAGCATATGACACGGCTGCTCGACTCTTGAGGGGCAAAAAGGCCCGACTTAACTTCCCTGCAAGCAACGCTTCTGCACCGCTTCCACATGCTGCCGCAGAAGCGGTGCTCCGCGCTTTGAGGAGGATGCAAGAGACGCAGGAAAAGCCCAGTGAGTTAATGCTCAAAGATCAACACATAATATGACGAGACCTGTCTGCTGGAACTGCACTGCCATGGGGTAGTGGACTTTGGCGTGTTTGTATGAAGGTAGGGAGTCTGAGTGTCCTAAACTCCATGCCAGTGCAGTGCAGCTTTTAATTGCTCTTTTGTTTGAGTTTGTGCTATAAGGTTTGTATTTTGCTCGTTTAACCAGATTCTAACTGTATCATGCTACCCACAACTTGAGTGATATGTCCTCCATATGAGCATCCGGAAGAAGGGGGAACAGTCGTGTGATAAGGCGATTTGCTAGCTGTAAGGGCTTCCAGCTCGTTGAGAAAGGCTTGCAATGATCGTCGTCATCTGTGAGGACATGCTCATTGCCGTTCAGAAAGACAGGAGCAGGTGAAAAGGTACCAGTCGTCAAGCTGGCATTGGTCACATTTCCCAACACCCTGGCTTCATATTCCATTCGGGCACTTTCTCATAATCAATCAAGTCGATGATTCATTTCACCAGTTTTTAAGTTCCAGACTCGACCAACTGTCCTGAAAAGTTCGTATCCACGTGGTTGTCGTTGGCGCCGTTTGGTCGCTCAACCAGTGGGATTGGAACTGGAAATGCATGCATTTATAACACCACCTGCCCACAACCCCACTGCGCCAGTGATCCACCCACACACTGTACAATATTTGATCTACGCATCCCCCTCATTTCTCCCAGGATCTCTCTGCCTCTAGAGTCTCCAGGTGCGTGCATGCGATTGGTCAACAGCTGCAAGGGAAACCAGGCGCACCAGTCCGCGTTTCTCTCGTTCTGAACATACATACACCCTGTTTCGCGCCACACTGACATTCGCCATATTGACAAGCCGGTTGTACTGACATCAATGCGTCCAAGATGGTCCCAGAACATACGATATAAGCAAATTTGCCGTACTCAACCAAGCTAAAAAAAACGTTAGATTCCATAAACCGTTGTGTACCGTTCCTATGGAGTGCATTTGCCCGCCACCTACCTGGGGTTCGGTTGCAAGCACCTGACCGCTAGTTTCCAAGCACACGTACACACTGTAGCCGGGCCTCTCGAATGTCAGAACATCGAGAAAGAGGGTGTACGACACGCGAGTCCGCGTTTCTCCTGGTGTTCTTGACGGAACCTCGGTGGGTGTACTGTACATTCCGCCGTACAAAAGAATTTTACTGTACTGAGTCCTGGACTCATGAGTCACGAACACTGACAGCTGGGTGTTGGGTGGTTGATTGAACGCCTCCCATCCCATGTTTCCAATCAACCTCTAACACACAGTAGAGTAGAGTGCGAAGGAAGGAACTCGTCGTGGCATGTCTGCTGCTCTGCTCGTCACCATTCACCAACTGGTGGCATCAAGACGAATGCACTTCACCAAGTCAACGTTGGCCCTGGGCTGGGAGACGACTTGCAGATGAAAATTAGCTGTTCAGGTCCTCACGAGGTCATCAAGTCCTTTCAAGCGGTCCTTAAGTTTAGTTGGCATTTGCCTTTGTTTTTAGAATCTCGCATGGGCGCCGTACGGCGATACTCCGACTGTCAAGCGGAGGTTGCGCGGAAGCTCCTCGCGTCGCTTCCTCCAGCGGAGAGCGCCGTCCCCACCCACCACCGCCGCGTTGCCGGCGCGCTGGATAAACCGCGCGAATGCACGAGCCGTGATTCAAACACCCGGAGCCCCGACATGCAAAGGGCAAGCAACAGGAAGAGCCCGGTCTCGATTAATGAGAGCACCGGTGACGGCGAGTTAGCATCGGCGAATGGAGTCAACAACAGAAGCAATAGTACCAATAGCAAGCGCTTGGGGAGCAGTAGTAAGGTCGGGTCGCGAGATGTGTTCGGCCAAGCCGCCGCTCCGCGAAAGGAGCTCGATCCCGTCAAGGCGCGGCGGCGGTCGAGCAGCGACTGGAGCGACGGAGCGAACCCAGTGGGGATCCTGGACGACATCGGCGATCTGTATGCGACGAATGACGACGACGCTGCAGGTACCGTGCGCGTAAATGCACAGCGTCGTGACTCCATCCCGCGAGTAACTGGCGACACTACTGCCGCTATTCCCCGCGGGGGCTCGGCGGAACTCCCGGCCCTTACAGCGCAAGCCCCCGCCAGGCCTACCGGCGTCCCGCGACAGGCGGGTGCGACATCTGACGCGCGCGCTGGTCGCCGCCGATCGTTCGACGGACAGATTGACCGGGTGAAGAACCCCGCCATTGGGGGCGGCGGCGGCACGGGCGCCGTCGGCTCGCCTGTGTGGGCGGCGGAATGCGGGGATCTGTATGGCAGCGAGGAGGGCGACCACGTGCCGATCACGTGGCATGGCGACGACGATGATGTGAACGCACCAGCAGGCGGCGATGAATTCACCTCCGCCGGCAGCGTCGAGGCCTTGCAAGCAAAGGCGCGCGCGCCGCCGCCCACTGGTAGGGGCTCCGCGCATGCGAACAGGGCCTCCGCGAGTCGGTCCGCCCCGCGCGCGCAAAGGGGCGCGGTAGAGCAGCAAGAGACGGCGTGGCTTCCGCCTCGCGCGGCGAAAAAGCCGCCGCGTTTGGAGGACGAGGATGAGGATGGCGCAGGGAGCGACAGCGGCGGTAGCGGTGGCGGCGGTATGGTGGTTCGGCGTCATACCGTGGGCGTGGACGGCCGGGAGAGGCGGGCTGCGAGTACGGGCAGGGCGAGAACGGCGCGGAGCGGAATTGGCATGCCGGATGACGTGGCGTTGAGGAATAACGCGCAATCGACGTCGCGGAATGCGGGTGTTGTGGCGGCGATGGTTGCGGGGGAGGAGGAAGGGGAGGACGACGGGGAGGAGGCGGAATGGAGCAGTCCCGAGCGCACTCTGCGCCGATCGACCACTGTTGACAGCGCGGCGCGCCGTCGCCCCGCGGGGGGCTGGAAAGGGAAAGGCGGGAAGATTCCGCCCGCGCCGGAATCCGGCGGGTCCCCGTCCTTTGGAAGTGTGCGTGCGGGGGCTGCGCACGCGCGGACGGGCTCCGCGGGGAGCGTGGGGCACGGAGGCAGTTTGGACTGGGACGCGGAAGACCAGCGCGCGCCGCCGCCGCAGACGCAGGCGCAACGTCTATGGGCGGAAGGCGGAGAGGGAGATCAGCAGTGGATGCAGCGGCAGCCTCCGCAATGCATCAAGGCGGCGCTGCGCGCACGGGTGGTCGGGCGACTCGGCGGCAATTCCGCAAGCGGCGCTGCCGGCGCCGCTGGTGGAAGGCCGTTTTTACCCGCGGGCGGCGCGCTACCTCCCCATGTTCCGCCGAACTGGGCGGCGGGTCCATATCCCCCTTCCTCCTCCGCCACCACTAGCTTCATCCCCCCCCACCTTCTGCCATCCCGCCCCTCCGCGAACTCCGCCCGCTCGATTTCCGCTCCGCCCGCCCGCCCATTCGCTCCGCCCGCTGCCCCGGGTCCGGGGGTGCAAGCGGAGGAGGACGCGCAGCAGCTTCCGCCGCCCCCGCGCCTACTGCGCACGCTCTCGTCGCTCTCCTCCTCCTCCGCGCGCTCCTCCTGCTCCCACGTTTCCACCAGCTCCGCCCCCGCCGGGCCTGTTGCGCTGTCCGCCCTCCGCGCGCGCGCGGAGGCTGCGGGGAGCAAGCAGAGGCGGGGAGCGGGCGCGGGGAGACCAGCGGGTGGAGCGGGGGAGGGGCAAAAGGAGAGCAGCGGGAGGGGGAAGCCCGGGCCAGGGTCAACACGGGGGAAGGTGGCGGAGAGAGTAGCAGTTGGGAATGGCGTGCAGCGAGTGTACTTAAACTGATATACCAATAAGGGGAATGCTCCAGGTTTCACAGAGTAATCGGTGGGACAGTAAAGAGGATGATGTTGGACGGTGCAAGAATGGTGGTGCAGGCAAGGATGATAATACGGGCAAGGGCATTGGTGATGGTGCGGGCATGGTGATGGTGCGGGCACTGGTGCTGGCAAGTGAACAAGATTTTGCAGTGCCTGGATTGGATTTTATCTGCACCAGTGCAGTGTGTTACAAGTGCTCTCTGACTCTGCAAGCCGTGCCTCAGTTTGTGCAGAACACATGTGCAAGAAACATGCTGCAGAGCAGAAACAAGGCTTAATGGCCATGCCGAGAGAAGCATGCCAACCTTTTTCAAGCTTACACTGAAGTTTGAACTAACCCTTTCTCTCCCTCCGCCTTCCCTTCCTACATTCCCTGATAACATAATCTCCCATGCCACATAACCCCCTCGCTTTAACCATATCTTCTGCTTCTCCCTCTCCCTCATGCCTACATCCTCCTCCCATTCTTCCCCTCCCCCAGTCCACTCCTTTCTTTCTGCAAGATGTGTTTGTGGTTCTATGCCACGTGTGTTTCTTTTCACGGTCTATCCTCTACGCCTGCATTGCTATACTATGGTGTGTGGAGTGGATGGTCTGGGATGGAGGTATGCTGCTTTAGGTCCCCTCTTTCCTTCCCTGACTTGTGCACTCCAGGGATGTTCTTCCACATCATCATACCCGGTAACATTTCTGCTATTTGACCCCACTCTTCATTGTTGTACCATAAAGCGCTTACCGTATTGTAATATCTAACTATACAAATCTGCTTCAATATTGGATTCTTGGCTGATGGTTATTGCATCTTGGCCTGGACATAGCATGCTGCGACAGCAAAAGACAGCATCCATGTCAGGGGGGTCTCTTCTGTGCAAGCAATCTGTCTCGACAAGCAGAGGAGAATGTGGCGATACTGCAACTGACAGATTGGGTAGCGCCCAGTACATGCTCTTGCCCCGCGGCACCTGTTAGCAACGGCCGCATTATGTTATGAGGTGATTGTATTGTACGGTACCCAGTCCTGACCACTCATGTAAGGTACCGCATAGCATGAGAGCAACCGTGTGACCTGCCCTGTTAGTGGTGGCCGGCCCTGAATGTGCATGCAGCTCATGGTTGGATGTCGTGCACTACACTTCCCCCCCATCACTGTGTGTGTGCCTCTCATCTCATCTCATGGTAGCTCCACCTCACTCTCTCTCACTCAGCGCCGTAAAACGAGGGCTTGGCCTGCAGCAGCCAAGTCCTCCTCATGCCACTGCACAGCACGAGTCACCATGTCGCAGCACAGAACCTGCAAGAGGACACTCACTGTCCTGCTTGGGTGTTTGTGCCCAGCCGCCTTCCAGGATTTCCAATCCCCACCCCACCCACCTACCATTCTACCATATCCACACACAACCCAGCACAGCACAGCGCAACACAGCACACCTAAGCAACATTTAAGCTGCGCATCTTGACAGCTACGCATGTGTAAATAAGCACAGCGGCGCATGTTGAGATTCTGGTGGGCCACCGCCGTGCTGCGCTTCACAAGTCCTCCTCTGCCTCGCCCTGCACTCCACCACGGAAGAGCCAGCCAATGGGACAACAATGGGACATGGCAGAAAGGGGAGGAAAGAGAGCAGGAAGTCATTTACAACCGGCAATAGCGCAAACCAGCACACAAGTGAAGCTGAATAGAAGCAACAAGATTAATTGTGCGTTGTCCTCATGTCAGATTGATGATGATAAAGTGTAAGTAAGCATGGCCAGCAACTCCCCTCACACCTACCAGCTGTTGCTGCCACTGCTTTCCCCGCAGTTGCTGGCAGGGACAGCAATGGGACATGGAGAGGGGGGGGGAGATCAGGGCACCGTAACAATAGGCCACAGAGCGGAGGACGAGCACCACAAGGCGTAGAGGAGACGAGAAGGACATCAAACCACTAGACAAGAACGCGTGTGATCAAACCAGGCAACATTTGAGGGAACTGGGACGCACTAGGGAAAGCTGTAATCACCCGTTCATTGCTGCAGCCGCAAGAACTGCAGTGGTTGATGATGCTCCAACTACCCCTGCCACCACTGCTGCTGCTGCTACCACCACTGGTACCCGTGCTGCTGGTGCTGGATAGACGGGATGGAAGAGAGGACAGGAAGGGAGGAGTTTGAGAGGTGAACAGAGTGGCGTTAACATGCGGCGACACACCACAAGGCACTGTGGAAAATCGCACAAGAGAAAGCATGTTTGATGGAAAAATGGTATACTAGCTGATCGGTTCACAACTCGTTGTGTGCTTACTATCATCCAGCCGCTGATGCAGGCACCGGTGACCCCTGAGTTGCTCCAGGCACTCTGTCCGCTGCTCTGCCACTCCTGCACCACGCCTTCCCTTCAAGCCTGCTGCTCCAAGTTGCTCCAGGTTGCTCCGTTGCTCCGGCTGCCCATGCTCGCAGGCCGTGAGGCACACACACGCATAGGGAGAGAGACACGCACACAGAAGCGGCACCAACAAGGGAGGGTTAGAAACAGCACGAGGCGAGTGGCGGAGGTAAAAGCAAGAGACACGACTCTTGCCTCTGCGCGGCGACGCTCTACGACTCACTTCCCTACCCCCTGCAAGCACCCCCTAGCGCGTACCACACTCCGTCCGCCCCTCTGCCACTTCTGCGAGCCACGCCTTCACTTGAGGCGTTCTGCTCCAGCCATGTTGCTTGGCTGGTGCTGCTTCTGCTCCGTCACGACCGCCACCGCGTTGCTCCTGAAACACACTCGCACGCCACTCACGCGCATGCTTGGAGGCCATGAGGCACACACTCGCACCCGCAGACACACGCGTGCATGCAGAGGGGAGAACGAGCGGACAGGGGGAGAGGTAGGGTACATGCGTTAGTGGAAGGGAAATTTCACACATGACGCAAAGAGGGAAAGCGACGCGACTCGTTAGGCGTTCCTAGACTAGACGACTACGACCAATGGAGTGTGACCACCAAGTGATTCCCCTCCCCACAGCCTTCGCTCATACGTACTGTTGGTCTTTTCCAGATCGACTGCGACCACCAAGCGAACTCAAAAGGACGTGTCTGATGCGACCTCGTTCGGATGCTGCAGCCGCAATCCCGCGCCTCCGAAACACATGCAGGGGGAAAACGCGGGAAGAGGGATGGTGTGCGCGTTAAAGAGAGAATAGATTTCCACATGACGCCAAGACAGAAAGTGACGAGACTCTCTAGGCGTTACTATCCTAGACGCTTACAGGGATCCCCCCCTACAGCCTTAGCTCTCACGTACCGTTTATCGTCCACTGATCGCCAACGATCTCCAAACGAACGGCTGCGATCTCCGAAGGCATGCCTGCGAGCTTCAAACGAAGCTACGGGGATGGAGACGACCCGAATCCCGCGTCTCCGAGTTAATTGCACCCATGCCGATGGGGAAACGACGAGGACAGGGGGAGAGGGACTGTACACGCGTTAGTGGAAGGGTAACTCAAAACATGACGCGAACGGGGAAAGCGACGAGACTCTCTAGGCGTTCCTATTCCGGACGCGTGATTCACCCCACCAGCCGTCGCTATTACGTACCACTATAGTTTCGTTGATCGCGTGCATGGGAACGCCGAGGAACTTGATGCGAACGCATGCGATCCCCATGGTCCGGTGACCTGCGTCAGTCTGCTTGGACTGCCGGTCGGCGAAACGCTACTGCTGCTGTTTGCGAAGAGCTGCGAATGCTGCTTTCCGCCGCTGATTCGTATTCCAAAAACCGCTTGTTCCCGGCCGGCATCTTGAAAAACGTTGGTTTCACACAGCCAGTTTCAATGGTGGAGCCAATACTCCGTCACGGGGACTGGAGGATGCATCCCTTGGCGCTAACCCAAGACTCGCTGGAACAACCGCTTCTGTCGCACGAGCCTCTCATGACTTGAAAGGCTATTTCCGGATAATATACATGTCAGCTGTTGCGCCATGTCGTCTTGTCGCCGCGTCACTTCACTCTAGAGTTCCGCAGGTCGCTGGAGGGAAAACAGAGACCAGCCAGGTGTAAAGATACGGTTTGCTGCTGTGGGACGCATCCGTCGTGAAGCTTTTCGCGAAGAGGTCGTACTGCAGAAGCGACCGTGCATCAGGAAGAAATCATTCTCAGAGTGAACTGTATCACCGCTAAGCCTAGCTGAATTTACGTTACCATGAGCAGCAGTTAGGCCGTCTCTTCGGGAAGTCACCCCTCGCTAAATGAGAACGAAGACGACATTGGGACCTTTGTTTTAAGGAACGAAATGTCTAACATTGTCGCAACGCACCGGAAGCTGCTTAATGCGAATGCTGAGCCGTGGACTAGCAACAGAGAGAACCAACACAGGAGCCATATGCTATAGACAAGCTAAAGTACTCGACTACTTGACATACCCTCCATGACTAAAACTCTAATGTCAAATCAGATCGAACCGTAGCCGTACTGTTGCAGAAGCTAAGATACCAAGTCGGCAACATAGAGGACCAGCAGGTCCAGAGCTGAGAGGAGAAGCACCAGGCGGGTGGAGTGGTTTGCATAGTGAGCGATAAACGACCAGAGAGGACTGCCTTGGGAATGCCGTGTCCCAAGGGAGTTGGGCTCGGCGAGAGTTGGGCTCGACGGTTCACGAATTGATGGCCCGCGCTTCGTAGAAGCCGAGGCATTCTGACATGCCTCGTGGGCTGATTGGGCGAAGTTGGGCGCCAAAGGTCCGACAAAGCAATTCAATCTATAAGCTGTCTCGCTGTCACGTGTTTCGATACGGTATCTTTACGACGCTTTCACAAAATGGTGGGTCGTACTCGTCTCGTAAAATTTGTACATACAGCACCCATTACACTAAACATTCAAGTCATGTCAGAAACTCAGTTGCAGCAATTTGTACAACCCTACTTCGGTACATGCTCAACAAGGCAAGGGACTATCCGGCACATGTCCTTGATAACGTCCCCATTCACAGCCTCGCTTGCTGCTGCTGCTGCGTCCCCTCAACAGCAGCCGAGCGAGGAATAATAAGCGCATCATAATGGCTGCTGCCATTGTACAGCACGCAGATGGCATCCTTGCTGCTGCTGATCCCTTCGCCTTCCACTCCCCCCTCGTCTCCCTCCTGCTTGCTTGCATACTCACGGCCGTACTCAGCTATGGGCATGATGGCACCCGAGCGAGGGGAGCGAGGGTCGGCAATGAACACGGTAATGGGTGACCTACACAGGGGAGGGGCGGATGCGAGGAGCACAAGGGGGGGGATGGGATACATGAGTGGAATGGTGTGACGAATAGACTACGATCAGGTGCACCGATGGCAAGACTAAAATGCAACGAGGCATGAGTGCAGGTCAAGAGAAGGTGGCGACAAATGGTAAGTCGATAGGACCGAAAGAAGGAGAGAATGATGAGGAAGAAGTACAAGCGAGGACTTACTTGAGGACGTGCGAGAGCATGAGGAGCTCTGGCTCTCCGCCCCACACATAGGGCTTGCGGATGTTGGCCACATAGTCATCGAAATTGCCCTCCAGGAACCTGCAGGTAACCACACGTGCCCCATGCACCACCAAACACCAAACACACAGATAAGATGGCTGCTTTCCCCGTATTTAGGTGAAAGATGACGAAACGAGAATATGCGGCAGGTTCCAAAAAGCGCTTGGGAAAAAAACGGCACAGGGAGGGCAAGTAACTAGAGAATGGGCAGCAGCAGCCAGCCAGCATGTCGCCACGCTTGCGCACACCAACTCGAGCACGCACCATTCCGTTTCTTCCCGCCGCTTCACGAACTCGTCCGCCACCTGGTTGCGCAGCGCGTCCGCCAGCTCGCAGCGCGCGGAGAGCGCCGTGGGCTGCGGGAGCGACGCGCGCGCGTGGTGGCCGTGCACCACAGCGTGGAACAGACAGCGCCCGTCACCCGGGATGCCTGGTGTGGGGGACGGGACGCGTGCGAAAAAAGAGGAGAGGAAGAGATGAGGGGAGCGAACAAAAAGCGGGAGGACACAGGGACCGAACGGCTGCGACAAAGAGAGAGAATGGAGGACGAGCGGGCGGAGACAAAGAAGGGCAGGAAGAGGAGAGCGGAGAGCGGAGCCGAAACGTGGTGTGGAAATGGATACGAGCAGACGAGCAAGAGACACTCACGGACGACATGGTAGTCTGTCGTCGACGCTTTCCGCGCATCCACCGACGCGTGCACCGCGCCGCCCGCCGCCGCTTCGCACGCCACTGACCGCAGCACTGACGGTCCCGAATCTTCCCCCGGCCGGGCAAGCGCGGCGGAGGCTGACGCGGCAGCTAACGTCAGCATGGCGAGATGCACCGGCTGCATGGGCTTCGCGGGTGACGCGGACGCGGCGCCAAGTCCGCCATGACCCACGCTGAGCGCCGCCAACGCGCCGCGGATAACATCGTCCGCCGCGACTATGCCGCCGCCAGCCGCGACCTTGAATGCACTCTCCCCTAACCCCAAACTCCTGCCGAGCGCCGCTGCTGCCACGAGCTCGCTCCGCCTCGCCGCGAGTAGCACGGACAGCGGCCCCTCTCCGCCGCCGTAGAACCCGCTGGTGAATCCAGCGCCGCCGCTGCCGCCGCCGCCGCCGCCGGTTGCGTTCGTTGCGGTTGGGGCGCAGCCGCAGCCGATGCCGAGAGGGAGGGGTCGAGAGGGACGGAGGAGAAGCGCGCGGAGGAAGGGAGTGGAACAGTGTACGGACGCCCAACTAGGACTTAGTCGAAGAAGCTCCTTCGACGCTGCTGACGCCACGTGGGACGCCCTCAACTGAGACGCGCCACCGCCGCCGCCGCCGCCGCTGGTGCCGGGACCGCTACCCAAGCCCCTTCCGAAGCTTGCTGCTAGACCCGCGGCGCCCCTCGCGGTGCCGTGGAAGCCGCGGGGTGCGGCGCTGGAACAGCCATCAGCGCAGGCGAAGGATCCAAGACAGGCAGTGCAGGAGGCGGTTAAGCCGCCAATGGCGGAAGCGGCGGCGGGGGAGGCGGATGAGATGGTTGAGGAGGAGGAGGAGAGGGTGAGCGCGTCAAGCGACGCGAGCGGGCGCGTGGCGGCGTCCGGACAGGCGATGACGCAGCGGGTAGCGCTGGCGGTGTGGATCGGGGTGAGGACGCGACGGGGAAGCGCGGCGGAATGGAGAAGCATCGCAAGGGGGATGCGACACGGACCGGACTAGGGCTTTTAGAAAGAAGGCGAGCTAAGAGAGCGACGTGGACTAGAGGATGGACAGGTTGGAATGGGAACTACGATCCACCGTTCGGCGACGAGTGCGGAGGAGGCGACGTGCGGGATATAGCGGGGGCTGAGGAACGCAAAATGGTCGCCATGAAATGGGTTGTCACAACAAGCGATCTACTCTGACGGCGCCATAACTCAACACTTTACGGAATAAAAGGTTAGAAACGACAAACCGATGCTAATGGTTTACTCTGAGAGCACGGCGGCAGCAACGCGGGTGAAATGCGGAAGTCCTGGTGAAGATACTGCCGTGATGAGTCGAACTGGACAGACGCCGTCGGGATAACTCGTAACTCTCAAAGCACAGCGTAGAAATGTGTAAGTAAAATACCAGGGCAACCAGAATGAAGGTGTTCAGGTTGATGCAGCCATGAGCACTGGGCAGAATGCGGCTCCAGGAAAGCGATGGCCACAACACGCAATGCCACCGTCAGCCGAAGGATGGACAAGGCGGAACGTGGTTTACGCCTGCTCTTACGAGACGGTTTCAGCTTTGGGGAGAGAGCGAGCGCAAGCAACCAGAAGGAGCGTGTGGAAGGTACGAGAAGGCAGAGCCGCAGGGGACATGGGCATGGGCATGGAACGGAAGGAATGTGGATAGAAATGCTTGCCGTATTCAGTGGAAGGATGGTGTGCGGAGGGATCCGCTGCTTGCCCGATGTTTGTGACTCTCTGCGACCATACGAAATAATGGCGAACGTGTCGACGACGCAAAACCTGGAGGATCAAGGGTTGAGATTGAACTAGCGGAACTAACGACATGATACACTTTCGCGGGGGGTTGCGTTTGACTGCAGAGGCTGTGGGGGATTGACGGCATAGGCGTTGCATTTGCTTGAGCGATTGGTACGGTATGCAACGGTGCAGTCGGGTTGCATGGAGGAACCTGGTGGTGGCTGGCGCCTACGCGGCGCCACAACCACACACACGCGTGGCGGCGAACTCCATAGTGGTGGTCACTGGTCACTGGTCAGACCACTGACGGATTCAGGGGTCATTGTGTCATTATCTTGAGACCTCATGTGGTGACGACGATCCATTCACATTCTCACACTTCATGTGCGCTTTGTCATCATCACCATCCCACATTGCCTTGCCGCAAACCCCCTTGTTGTTGGTCCTCGAACCGTCCGATTACAGCTCCCTAATCGACGTGGCACAGTAATTGAGAGACGAGGCAGCTGCAAATGACATGTGGATTTCAATGTGACGTGGCCAGCATTCCTTTGCGGACGCTGGACACGCGAGCCTTCAGATTGACGAGTCACGATGAATGTTCAGATATGTTCAGATACACGTCATGAAATGCACACATTGAATGTGGTTGGGATTGGGATGGCATGCCTGCGTGAACAAGACGCAAGTGGGCATGCACCGAACTGGACAACAGGAGAAGAAAAGTGCTTTGGCACAGACAAGCTTGTTACGGCGTACATAATTATTGGATGCGTGTATCACCTGACAAATATCAAATAAATTCGAACACCTCTTGATACATCAACAATCACAGGTGATTGAAGCGCAAACAAGTTGACCACTATAAGCACAATACAGGCCCCCAAACATAGAGTGAACGTATGTTCACCTCTACCGAGGAACATAATAATTTACGAAAGCGTAGAGGATGCATGCATAACTTAAAAGGATGGGGAGAAATGACCACCCCTGGCAGTGCACCAGTTACTCGAACTCTGCTCTGGTATCGGCTGCTCAAAATTAAACCACACGAGCAAACTGGCTGTGTTCAGGGTGGCGGCGCTTGCGACCGGCCCTCCACAGCGCCCAGCCAAAGATCAGGAGCGCGACAAGAATGACAATGAGCCCTCCAATTATCCACCCTGCATTGCTGCTGCTTCCTGTCTCAGATGCCACCCACTGCGCCAGCGTCTCATTAGAAGAAGACCCGGATGTGCTTGGGACCGCGCTCTGACGAAGAGGGGGTTGGGACGAGGCAGGGAAAGACACGGAAAAACAAGGTCGGAACTACAACTGCAGAAATCCAAGGGAAACACAATCCGCATCATGGAAGGACATGGATGGTGTGCAAAGCACGAGGAGATGCACGGAGAGCAGTGCATGGTGATGGTGCGATGCATCTCATAAGCAAATCACCTGCAGCTCTTCCGGCACGGAGTAGGGGGCAGCAATCTGCTGGCCCTCAGGCAGGGTAACCCCCTCAGGCAGCGGGCCAGGTCGCAGGACCAGCTCAGGCTTCTGAAAGGAGTCCCCCCCCGTGTGCTGCCATGGCGCCACATCCTGTACCAACAGGGGACCCATAACAAGTAGGGAGAGAGGGGGAGGGTGAAGGGAATGGGACATGCGGGGCCAAGGGAAGAGGTGAGAGTGGGGAAAGAGTAAGAGAGGGAGAGATGATGAGGGGGGGGGGGGGGGGGGGGGAGGGGAGAAAAAGTGTGGTATATGCACTTGAAGGGAGAGGGATTACATTCATGTGTTCACATCAGGGCCACGATGTGGCAGAAAATGAGCAAGAAGTTGGTTCAAAAAATGATAGAATCATTTCTTTGTCACAAGTGCACATTCTCTATCCACCCATGCCACACGCTCCCATACCACGTCTTCCCCCCGCCTCCCCTCAACCCCTCTCCCCTTCCCCCCCAACCACCCACCTTCCAGCCAACGCCAGCGAGGTTGTTAAGAGCGAAGGTAGCGCGCTTGAGGTCCTGGTTGCGGTCGCCCGTGTCAGGGTTGAAGGACACGGGCCCCGTGACGCCCTTGAAGTGAATGCCGTTGCCCGTGCGGTTCTTGAACACCTCCAGCACCAGCCGCGGCGTGATGCCCGATTGGCCTGCAGGAGAGGAGTAAGGGGTGAAGGGGGTCCAAGGAAGAGGCGAGGGGCAGGGGGAGGCGAGGTGGGGGTGAGGGGGAAGCGAGGGGGACGGGATGGGGAGGATGAGGAATGGAAGGGGGAGCGTTTTTAGAGGAGAACGAGGATGGTTACTTGCTCTCACAACGACAGCACAGACTGCGGGAGGGTGGGTGGGGGGTGCGGGAAGGAAAATGAACACATCCCAGAACCTCCGCTTGCCTCCCGTTGACGTTCCCAAGACAGCCCCAACCAATTCCCACACCACAACACACCATCCCATCCCATCAATCCCCCCCATGTGTCTCATTCCCACTGCATCAGCAAGTGAGCCATCCCGTGGCATCCTGAGCCATGCAGCTTGCACGTACGCTGGACGACGAGGATGTTTTCAAAGGCCTTGAAGAAGGCCCAGATGGCGTCGATGAGGTGCAGCACGTACGCCCGCGGCTGCTCAAAGCGCGGCGTCACCGGCAGGGTCAGCAGCCCCGGGTACTCGCTGTGCTGCTGCTGCTGCCAGTACGCACGAAACTCCTCAAAGGGCGATGCTGCGTCCGTGTCCGCCTTGCCGCCTGCATGCAGTGCGGTGGCGAGTTAGGGGCGTGTGGGAGCGAGGGAGTGGGGAAGAGGGAGGGTTGGCAGGTGGGGAGGGTTGGAGGGAAGGGGGAAAAAGGGAGGCATGTGGAGAGGGTTAGGGGGAACGGGGAGGAGGGCGTTGGAGATTAGGGGTGTAGGGAACTTGCACAAAGGAGGTGCAGTGGGTTTTAAAGGCAGAGGCATGTGCTGGCGGGATCAGGAGAAAAACACACTAGGCAGGAAGATAGAGAGTGAAGGGGAGATGAGGGGAGGGCATGAGCAGAGCAGAGCGTGAGAGGGTTGGTGGGTGGTGGTGACTCACGGTAAGGGCTGATGCCCAGCTCGCCCTGCAGGGCTGACCCCAGTGGCACTGACGCCTTGTCTGGTGGGCCAGGCAGGGTGCAGAGGGCAGTGGTGCAGAGGGCAGTGGTGCAGAGGGTAGTAGCGGAGAGGGCAGTAGCGGAGAGGGGAGTGGTGCAGAGGGGAGAAGTCAGTTGGGCAGCAGACAGAGAGCAGCGGGAAAAAGGCAGTTGGGCCACGTTGTAAGGCAATACAGGGAAATGAGTTATCATTCGAATCTAAAGACCGGGGTTACTGAGGTGAGGAGAATACACAAGCACATACATGCGAGGGTTCTCTGTGGTTACATGGCGGATGCATGCATGAACGCATGAGCAAGCACATGCATGGCATGGGATGGCAATCCATGACAGCACAGTGGAATAGCTGCTCAGTGTGCAGGCGCGTACCAATGCCCACGAGGTCAAACGTCGTGCCTCCGTCAGACACGAGGTACCACCAGGGATAGCCCAGCAGACCCTGCCACAGCCACCGGGGGACATGCGTGGAAGAAAGGAGGGAAGGGGGGCAGGAAACGAAGGGAGGGATGGGCACTGGGAGCTGAGAAGGAAGGAGAGGATGGCCCTTAAACAATAACAAGGCGGCTTCTAGAAGACGGAATGACTTTCACAGACAAGCTAGCAGAGACGAGAACGTGGGGGACAGAGGGAGCGGTTAAAGAGGCGCACAGGGGGAGCAGGACTATGGAACTCACAAGGTCGTAGGCAGCGCGCCAGAGCCCTTCAACGACGTTAGGCAGGGCGGCGAAGACGACAACAGTGGAGTCATTGGCCGTGATGAGGCGGCCGTTGACGTAGAAGAACTGCTTCCACTCGTACATGGTGGAGGGCGGCGGGTACGGTACGCGGATCGTTGTGGACCCCAGCTCCCTGCGCTGCGCGTACTTCTGGTGATGGTGAGGGGGAGGGGCGGGCGGGGATGGGAAAGGGAGAGGAGGGAGTGGGATGGGAGAGGGATGGACGGACGAGGGACCAGGGGTTGAGGAATGAGGAGGTGGAGATTCAGGACAGGGTGTTTGGGGAATGAGCGGTGCAAAAAAAAAAAAAATGATGGCAAACAGCATGTGCCGCTTCTCTTTCCCTCTGGCCACGACCAAAGGCCTTGCGGATGTGTTGGCCTTGCGTTCGTTAGCTGGCCGTTCATCATCCATACTCAAGCATGAATTCCTCTGTGCGACTATGTACTTCTTTGAGCAACCCGATTCTGTGCGAAATCGTACTGTGTGCGGGACAGCACGCCTGTGTGCGACACTGCACGTCTTTGTGCGACTCTTTGCGTCTCTGTGTGACTCTTTGCGTCCCTGTGCGATTCTCTGCGTCCCTGAGTGACTCTCTGGGTCCCTGAGCGACTCTCTGCGTCCCTGTGCGACTCTCTGCGTCCCTGTGCGACTCTCTGTGTCCCTGTGCGACTCTCTGCGTCCCTGTGCGACTCTCTGCGTCCCTGTGCGACTCTCTGCGTCCCTGTGCGACTCTCTGTGTCCCTGTGCGACTCTCTGCGTCCCTGTGCGACTCTCTGCGTCCCTGTGCGACTCTGTCTGCATGTTCTCGTGCGAGGAGCAGGGACGCCAGGCAGCGCACCTGAATGTCGTCCCTGAGGTTATTCCCATAGGTCTCGTCGGAGTAGAACAGATAGATGTTCGTCCACCCGTACTGCCCTATCTGCACCGGGGAAACACCCAGGCCAAAAGTGGGGGGAAAGTCCGAGTGACGGAGAGGGCGTGCGTTACAGGGAAGAAAAGAGATTGTTCCAGAACGGCAGAAAACTACGGTTGGTTAATGAATGGACAGAGCGACGGCGTGCAGGGGAAGTGGTGGGGCGCGGGAAGGGCGGAGTGGTTACCACGTCCTGAATGGCCTTGGCTTGGAACCGATCGCTGTACCTGCAATGGGCAGCAGCAGTGGACAGCGGGTCAGTAACAGAGGGTCAGGGGCAAAAGGGGATAGATTAGCGATGTGCTAGGGAGGGAACGGACAACCGCGAGATAAGAACGTTTGGAGTGTATGATATGGGTGACAGGAGGGCGTGAGGCTCGTGCAAGCATGAACCATGACAACTGGTGCGTCAGTCCCTAGTTTAGCAAGTGCAACGCGTGAAGCGAGGATGGAAGAATCATAGTGGCTGATTTATGTCAAAAAGGAGGAAATTTCCAGCAGGAACAGCAGCATACACCCCTCGCGCATTCCTGACGGATATTAACGGGGCAGTTCGTGTAACGCGTACACGGTGCGGAAGAAGGTGCTGTAAAGGTCCCCGGAGAAGGTGTCGGCTGTAGCGGCGAAGGACACGAGCGGGATGTAGCGCGAGCGCAGCACCTGGCTCGCGCCCTTCACCGCCTCGGAGCACGCGGGGCCCACCACGCCCACCACCAAATCCTCCACCAGTTTCTGCCAGCGTGCCGGGGGGAGGGGGTGGGGAAGAGGGGGGAGGAAGGTGGGGGGTCGAGTGGGAAAAAGGTGTGAGAAACGAGGAGAGAGGGGAGAGGAGGGGGACGAGGAGCAGGGGGAAGAAGGAGGATGTTGGCACATGCAGCTCTATTCCCTCCCATGACCGAATCGAGTACACTAAACCAGTTAACTGAATGCTTAACACCCGTTCGGCGCGACAACAGCTCATGACTATTTCCATGACTCGTCAACCTTGAGACTCTCCCACGCCAATTCTTGTTCTCCTCTTCCGCCGATCCAACATATCTGCGCCTCGGCATCCGAACCCCCCAAGCCTGGGCCATGCTCCCTTCCCGCCTGCATCCTCGCGTGCGCCTTGCATCCCTCCTCGCGCAACCAAACATCCTCAAAATCGCACGTGAACCCCCGCGCAGTCAACGCGTACCTCAGCGGCGTCAGCGGCGGCCTGCTGGTTGCAGTTGGAGTTGGCGATGAACGGTTTCACGCGCACCAGGTGCCGGTACTGCCTTCCCAACACGTCAACCGCTATGCGCGCCGCTGAAATCCTAATAAAAACGGAGCATTCGAGAAATGACGCAAAAGAATGTTGCAAGAGATTCAGTTAGTTGCTGTGCAAGTCGCAAACGGACAGCATGTATGGGTTTGCGAAGGAATGTGACGTACGATGTATATGTCATGCGCGTAATATGACATTGCATTGTGCAGAACAGTAAGGAGCCATTGTTACAAAAAAAAAAGTGATCCAAAAAGCTTTGGCCAGTGACTCACCACTCGTCGGCAAGCCTAGCTGGCACTGCGGAGTCACCGTCAGGGAATGGCAGCAGGAATCCGAGGCGGACATCCTCCACAGCCGTGCCGTGCGACACGCACATCACGAGCACCACCGCTGCGAGCAGCCGCATCGTCGGCGCCATTTTGGTCGGATTTCCCAACTCGAAAGCTGGAATTTTCCTTCCCACGAAACCGAAGATCTAGGAAGTGCCAGCCAATGTGGCCAACGAAGTCAAGCAGCAACACGAGCCTTGTTTCTTGAAATTGGTTCTTGGCTGGAATTGGCTCCCGGCAGGCTCTCTTGGCTCGCCTGGATTACAGGACAGATGCACATCACATCTGAAGAAAATGAGGGAGGAAGGCAGGGGGGGGAGAAAGGGAGGGGATGCTGGGGGAAGGGAACAGGGGGGGAGGTTGAGGAGGAAATATAGAGGTTGGATTGGATTGGATGCGAGGAAGTTTGACGATTGACGGTTGCAGGAATGTGAGGCGCGAGAGAGAGGCAGGGGGAGGGGAAATGTATGCGCATTTGCGCAGGAATTGAGAGATGGTCACGCGCATGTGATTGGTCCAGGAAAGGGGCCATGGCCGAGACGGGGAGTGGAAGGGTGGGGGGAGGGGGGAGCGGTCGGGGGAAAGATTTCCGCAGCATCAGGAGGACCTCTCTCATTGGCTGGTGGCCGGGATGGTGGGGCTAATTTTGCGGGAGGAAGTGAAGGAAAGGTGGGGTCGGCGGACAAACTAAAGGGTTCTCAGGGTGCATTCCGGCGTGTGTCAAACACTTGGGTCGCGTGTTTCTACCTTTCACTTCCGAGTATTCCAAGGCTCCATCTTCCCATGTTCCACTCCGAATTCAGATTTCTCGATTTTGAGTCTTCCCACTCGTAACTCAATTTGACCCCAGGATCCGCCCTCTCACAGCCTGTTCCAATCATTGTGATATCCCACACTTTTACACTTGTCATATACTTCTTTGTTTTTTACAAAAGCTTTGGCAAACACTTCAGAATCCTTGTATTTTTACGGTGGAAAAAATGGTGTTTAGATCGTGCGTAATATTCTTTTGAGATTTTCCAGCATTAGATGTCCAACAAGTAGCCCGAAACACACACTCTGAAAAAAAACATAGTGCCACCATACCTGCCAGACAATTTTTCCATAAGGTTTAAAATGTTGATAGAAAATTTCAATGCACTGATTATTTATTGATTTGGACTCGAAACAACAACTGCTCTATTTAAGCGCTTCTTCTAAGAACCAATTCATTCAGCCAAATGTCTACCTACGAAAAACATTACTTCCCCCAATGCTGGTCATTGTTAAAATATTAACGAATCTCCATGAGCGAAACGTAAATTTTAGAAGACCCTTCCAGCGCTTCGCGGATTGTCCTGCCTCGCTGGCCAGTGGTGGCTGGAAGATCTCTTGTAGGGCGTGAAGGTCGCACGCGATTCGTAAGACCCCACTTCCGCTCACGGGATTGGCGATCCCTGGCCCCGCTGATCCTCACGTCAACCTATCAACGGCTCCCACCCTGGTGGCTCAGCAGAGAGAACAGAGAGAATGCCATCCAATTCTACCCAGGTGAAAAATAGCCAAGCTCAACTTCAATTCAACCCAACCCTCACTCCGCTCTGGCTGGTGCTGAATTCTGCATTTTGCTGAATTCTGTTTTGCCTCCCATCACACAGCAGCATTCCTTGTGATCTAAGATTGTGTTCCGTCACCAACTCTCGCAAGACCAATGGCTGCTCTTACATGCCAGACGGCTGCCACCTTTGCCAAGCTCGGCTCCTCGTCGAGTGCTCAGGCCACAAAAAATGCCAGAGTGACTCGTGCCGCATTTCTTGGCCAGCGTGTTAATGGCGGCTCAAGCAGCAGAGGTCAGGTTCTGAAACAAGTGTAGATCTTTTCCCAAATAACTCTGTTGATACCGAGACCTTAGATTCTCAATTCACTCTCTCTGAGTCCTCACGCATGTGTTTTCGATCCCTCAGGGGTTGCGAAGATTTCGAAGTTCGCAGTAAGGGCAACCGCTGAAAATGAGGAGGCACCATTTGTCACTCGGTCCAAAGAGCTTCTTGAAGAAGCCAAGGCGAAGGTAAGCGCTCTCAAACAACCGACATGGCGGTTCGCATTCGAGCACCTCACGCATTTTATGCATTGTCAACTAATTATCTGTTATTGTGTATACAGTGGGATACAGTTGACGACAAAAGCACGGTTCTTCTCTACGGTGGCGGAGCTATTGTCGCAGTTTGGCTCTCCTCCACGATAGTATCCGCCGTCAACTCCATTCCGCTGGTAATGTGCAAATCAGTAGGAGTATTGTTTCTGGTAACTTCCAGCCTCTTACGTTAACTAGCGATTTTCACTTTCTTGCAGCTCCCTAAGGTCCTCGAGCTAGTGGGCACGGTCTACTCTGGCTGGTTCGTCTACCGCTATCTCCTCTTCAAGGTTTGTCACGTCGCCTTTGTGCTGTTTCCTAGTACTTGTAATAAATTCCCTTTTTCAAGGGTCGTCATCACACTGAAGACGTTTTCGTTGTGTCTAACAGTCAAGCCGGAGGGAGCTGTCGCTTCTTGTTCATGACCTCATGAGCAAGATCACGGACAAGAAGTAAATTCTGTCAGGATAGACAATGGAATCCAACTGAGGAAAACTTCCAGTGGTCCAGGTGGTAGTTCTGCAATCTTGTTAAATTATTCACTATCACAGGGTTGATGTTACAATATATTCAGTCAGCCAGAATAATGAATGATCTCGACAGGCATCTGAGCACCATCAGATTCTATACTTGTTGATTTAGTGCTCTTCAAAAGTAACCTTGGAACCTGCGAAACAGGCAATAAAGCGCATTAGTGCCTGTCCAACAATGTGACTGAGGTCGTGAAAAAACAGCATTGCTAGGGAAAGAAACAAATGGGCAGTATGATTGGACAGTGGTGAGAGGATAAGAATTGGGAGGAAATGGCATGGTAAGCAAGGAGGGCGGAGGGAGTGACAACAGGGCTGAGAAAAAGCCTGAGAACAAATGGCAACAGGGCTGGGAGAGAGTGACTGGAACAACAGGAAGGGCGGTGGAGAATGACTATAGTAACAAGGAGAGGTGGGAGAGAGTGATGAGATACACAAGGCCTTGAAATGGCAACAGATGTGGGGAGGGCGAATTGTATTCAGCATAAAAACACTCTTAAACTGGCCGGGAGTGCGACGTACCTTATCCGATGACACTGCATTAGACATTTGTTGCAGAAACACCTCCCTGTTGGCAGGAAATCGATTTGTGGGGTCCATCACAATAACGTGGGGGAAACTGGACAGGAGACACACAAAGTGAGTTAGACAGCTGCACAGTGCAATGGATAACGAAAGCACGACTGTTAGGAGAAAAGTACTTACTCAGAACTTGCATGACTCGACTGCCGCAGCAGGTTTGGCAGCAGTCTTGGTAGAAGTGACGAGGCAGAGCAGTCATAGAGGACATCACATGCTAGTACCTGGACACAGAGCATCAGACGGGCCCATTTCACCTTACTTATTCCAGCTGGAGCATTTCCAACGTCCAGATGTCTCTCTCATCCTCTCCCTCTTTGAGCAATTACTTCCTGTTTATACTTCCTAACTGGTCCTCGCGTCTCAGACCATTAAAATAGGTATGCATAGAAAAAGAAAGACAGACAGAGAGACAAAAAAAACAAAAACGGCCTACCGTGTCAAACTTTTCTCCATGGTAGTCTCCGTCGGACCAGTCAAGCACTTCAGCAGAAATAGATGCAGCTTCTGTTATAAGGACGGCCCCATTCAATGACACTTCTGAACCCTCAAGAGCAGGCAGACCAACACGAGGCAAATTTGGGGAGACTGAAAGCTGACTGTGATCCAGAGGAGATTCGGTGAATTCTGTATGTCTGGTGACGTGGTGCTGGAGGTGGTGGGGAGGAAGGGCGACGAGAGAGAGAAGGTCCTTCAAGGCACCTGACTGCTGTGCTGACGTCAGCCATTGTTGAAGTGACCTTAAGGATGGATGAGAGAGGCGGGACTGAGCAGATGTGTATTGAGGAAAGCTGTGAGCATTGACAATGCTTGTAAGGAGGCACGAGAGAAGAGCAAGGGGCTCCCGGTCAAAGAACACCACTTCACGAGCCCCTGCCATCAGTGCTGCCAGACCAGCAATGCCTGCAGCCATGGATTGCAATGAAAGCAGTTTAAGAAAGGTGACAGTTCGGAAAGAAACGAAATTACTGACAAACAAAGGGAAAGCTATCCATTGTAAATAGAGAGAGATTTTTTTTCTTTCCATGCTTTGCTTGTTCCACATAGATACCAATAAACACTTCAGCATGCCCAAGGCTGTACCTGCACCAACAGGGATTCCAAAAACACAAACATAGACAACAGTCTGGCTGCTTCTTCTCTTTCTGCACGTACCTATTCCAGCACCCAAATCACAAACACGCTGGCCCTGCACTGTCTCTGGGTGCGCAAGAACCTGAATGAGAAGGAAGCACATGAAGAACGGATGGAATGGTAATCAAGAACTACTGTGTGATTAGCATGTCGGACTTTCAATGAATGGTGTCATCGCTGTACCCTCCTCACCACCGTCCCACCTCTTCCCGAACCTCTTCCCTCACCTCTCGGAACATGGCCTGGGCGCAAGGCCACACCTGGCACCAGTAGGGGTCCTTGTGCTCCCCGGACTCCGCCTCTGCCACCCACCAAGCAAAACGAACGCACAGGATAGAGCTCAACCGAGCATCTCACAAGCAAGCGCACATTGGCGAAGGGCTGTGGGTTGAAGGAAAGAGGACAGGGATCGTTTTGGCAAGGCATCCACCAGGCATTGACTCGGTAACGAAAGCGAAGGGGTCGGTGGAATTTTCAAGCGTGTATGCGCGTACCTCTGGCAATGTACATATCAAGCACCGTGTCAAGGCAGCGAGGCTGCACCACCCTCACAATGTGCCCAGCCACTGCGACCTGCCATGGAAAACGGCGACCACACCAGGTAAAAAATATGAGTAGGAAATACAGTTATATCAATGGAGCCATGCTTGCTAAGGGACTCTAGACGACCATGTCATTCCGCGGATCGTGCAATCGTGTCCATTCACCTCGACAACTTCTAGCTCGGGAATGAACAGTGGATCCAGGTATCCAGCCGTGACGTCGACTGACGTGTCTGTTCTGCTTGCGGACGCGCCGAGGGCATCCACGTCAGCCAGGGACGCGCAGACACTGAGGGGCCGTCGATGCCTTGCGAATCTCGCGAAATGAGAATGTGACCCAGCAACGGAGGGGAGTGGTCCACAGGAAGCGAAAATCTGACGCGCAAAAACCCTGCGGCTCCTGTCTCGAACATCATCCGCGTCATGGATTACGAATCTCGCAGCAGAAAGGACCCTTTGCTGCTTTGCAGCAGAGTTACGGCAAACATGAGAACGCACGCGCGAATTTAGGCTAGGTGTCAGAGTAAATCGCCGAGTGCGCAGCGCTGATGACTGAAGACTCAAGAGGCTATGGCGCATGGCCGTCGCGGCTGCGGCCATGGCGGACGGTAGGGTGGTGGTGAGGCGATGTGTTGGAGAGATCGCTTTTCTATTCAATTGAAACAATCGGGTCTGATGGTACCTCAAATAGCAATGATAGGTGTGACGGGTTTACGTTATTAGTTGGTGTAGATGACTTCAATTATCCCCTCACACATACCTTATCTGGGTGTTGTAACCACTAGAATCATATTGTCTTGATAAAAGTACAATTTTTTGCACGCTGGGAGTCCCAGCCCGGGACATGTTGTGGAGGAGGATGCTCGGTGTGAGAGCTGTGTACACTATGGAAAATCAACAGACTGGCAACATTAAATTGGGATGTATAATGTACCTTGACAGTGAACTACAAGCATACTAGACCAGTGGAGGCAACCTGTCAGAAGTAGTGAACAGCTGAATGAGTTGCATTGAGCAGAAAGTAGGTACAAGTTGTTGGCCATAAACAGTGCCATAGTATGATAGTAATAGTGGTATTATTTATGGATGGGAGGACGTTGGCCTGGGTGGAAGGAGGTGGGTGGTGGTGGTATGTTTAGATGAAGGTTCTGCTGTTTGCATTCCACCAGCATTCATGGTTATGCTTTGTTCACTCCATTTACCCTGTCAGACTTACCTGATGGGTGGACCTGTGTCTTACTTTGAGCAACGGGCCTACGTCATTCCAAGGTATGTTTTCGGTCCCTTTATCACGGAGACACTTCAAGCTCTCGATAAGGACGAGGCGACTCATAGTATCGCCAGGTGCCAACTCTCTTGCTGGACAATGCCATCGTTTGTGTGGAGGAAGGGTTCATGACACGGTATCAGGGCATGAGGTACCGCGCTTCCTCGGTACGCATCGTGATCACGTGTTCAAGAAGGAACACAAGCTGGGAAAGCGAACGCGGTAAGTATTTGAAATAATCTCTTATAAAACAACTTTACAGAGTCAGCATCTCAAATGCATTTAGATCTTGCCCCTGGGGCCGAGGGCAGCGGGCTTCTGGGGGCCGTTCTGGATGGCAATGATGTCACCGGTGGAGTTGGCAGCGAAGTGACCGATGGCGCCAGCATAGCCGAGGATGAGCACCTTCAGAAGAATTCCCCTCTTGGTGAAGAGGCCGGCGAAGGTCTCGAAGAACTTGGCCTGTAAAAAGGAATGGCAAGGAAGGGGTCACATATAGGACACTGTTAAGTATCTGGCGAATGATTAATGAAGACGACCTGAATGACGGCGAAGGTATGGACTAACCTGCATGCCATTGTAGGGGGAAGCACCATCGTTGCCGTACAGGTCCCAGGAACCGGTGGTGTTGCCGAGGTCCTTCAGGTCAAAGTACACGCTCTCATCGCCGTACTTGGCGCGGGGAGCAGTGAACCTAACGGCCTTGGCGGGGGCAGCCTTCACATTGTTCTTCACAGCAAGCTTCTGGCCGCAGAAGGCGCTGGCGGAGATGGAGGCGGACACAGCGAGGGCGGCCATTGTGCTTAAGTGTAGTGAAGATAAGAATCGGCTTGGGCGTTCAGAAAGCTACCAAGGAATGAAAGTGTGACTGCTGGTCTAAAAGACCCCAAGGGCCGACAGACTGGTGGTCAGGCGCAGGTCCCTCGCGAACTTTCGCGAGTGGGGAGCTGCTGGTTTGCGATTGGTGCGAGGTGGATAGGCCCTAGATTGCTGAAATCGAGCACGGGTAAGGCAGTCCAGCGTGGCAGTGTGTCGAGCATGTCAATGGATACTGAAATCCGCTACAAGGGCACCTGGTGGCCGATCCGTGGCCACTCGAGCACATTACGAGTGGGGTTTTCGAGAATCCTACAGTTCAGTTCGCCTCAGGTACAGAACATTCTAATAAATGTAGCAAGTGTTCTGGTGAATCTGAACTATGCATCTTATAAATGAAAAGAAAATCAGTGAAGGGGCTTTGATGAAGTGAATGGGAATTCAAAACATCTATATCTATTTATCAGAGGAACAAACATACGAAAATAGCAAGAGTCGTGCCTCAATCTATTCGTTGAATATGGCTTGTCATGTTTATGGGCCTAATAATGTACACATTTTGACAGAAAACAGTTCATCAAGATTTGAACTGGTTTGCTTGGCACTTCACAAACTGAGACTGCTGGATGACTCCTATATATAAGCAGCGCTTATCCTGCACAATCCTTCCACGTCCCAGGCCTTCATTCTGCAGTGACCCATCTCCTAGAGTTAGCCCGTCATGCCCAAGATAAAGGTTCTCTTCTTCGCGCGCGCTCGCGAGCTCGTAGGCGCGGCAGAGCAAACCTTAGAGCTGCCCGCGGACGCCGATTCTCGCCTGCTGCTGGAGCACCTGTACGACGCGCACCCGCCGCTGCGCGATCTCGCGCAAAGCGTGGTGCTGGCGGTGAACCACGAATACGTGTCGCCTAGCGACCCGCCGACGGTTCTTAAAGACGGAGACGAGGTTGCGCTGATCCCGCCCATCAGCGGTGGATAGCTGTTCCTCCGCACCGCTGTTGGAGTGCTTATCTCTTCTTGTCGCATTTCTCATCCCTTCATCTCTCTCACCGTTCCTTCTCACTTCCTTTACCCACCCAATTCCAGCTCGGCCATCTTTCCTCCTCCTTGTTCCTCTCCTCCAATCATCCTCTCCTTGATTGAGCATCGTCATCGGAATCGCCCACATACACCTCAGCATTAGCCTTGATGTCACCATGCACGTCAGCACCTGCGTCATCAGCAGCACCGCCAACAGCAGAAGCAGAAGCAGAAGCAGGAGCAGCAGGGGAAGAAGGGAGGGTATGGGAGAGCGTGGGTGCAGACGTGCTGCTGGCCGTGCTGCAGCGCCTGACAGCGCGTGAATGGGCGGCGTGCTGCTGTGTGTGCTCGCACTGGCGACGCACGGCCATGGACGCCAGTCTGTGGCAGGAAGCATGTCACCGAGAATTTGCCATTCACCATCCGTCGCTCTCCCCGCTCTCTCACCTCCTCCTCGACTCCCTCCCTCCCTCCCACTCTTCCGTGACCCCTTCCCCCACTTCCTACCCCCCCTCCTCCTGCTCCTCCTTTTCCTCCTCCTGCTCTTGCTCCTCCGCCTCATCCTCCTCAGCCTCGCCTCTCCTCCCCCCTCTCCCCTCCCCTTTCTTCCGCATCTTCCCCCGCGCCTACCTCTCCCCTCACCGCCCCTACCTCTGCCTCGCCGCTCGCCTCGCCCACGTGCTCCGTGGCGTCGCCAGGTGGCGCGCTCTCATTCGCTACCGCCGCAGCAGCAGGCCCAGCAGGATAAGCAACCGGGAAGGCCGGAGCACGTGGTCATGGCGGGCAGTGCCGGCCCGTGTGGTGATGCAAGGAGGTGTGACTATATGGGTGGCCTTCGACCTGGCGCGTGGGCAGAGAGGGGCTAGCAGTCCTGGGGGCACCAATGGGAGCATTGGGCGCAGAGAGGCGGCAGGGGGAGGAGTGGAGGACGGGGGTGAAGGGCATGGGAGGGGGGATGGGGGGATGGTAAGGGGGAGGGCGGGTGATATGGGGGGGATGCATGAGGAGGAGGCGATGATGGTGGAGGTGCAGGGGTTGTGGCGGGGGGGAGGTGTGGGCACAGGGGCCATGTGGGTCACTCTCTTCCGCACTCACACGGATGCTAGTTGTCACAGTACCCATGGCGCCCATGCGCATGCCACGCCTGCTGCTTCTGCTGCTGTTGCTGCTGCTGCTGGTGTTGCTGCTGGCGACGGTGGGCGGGAGTGGGTAGAGGATGAAGCGAGGGATGGGGAGGAGTGGGAGGACGAGGCGGGGGTGGGAGGAGAAGGAGGGGTAGGGGCAGAGGGAGGGGCAGCAGGGCAGTGGGAGCGAGTGCAGCAGTCGCACATGACTGGCCTGTGCCTGTACTCAGGTAACGTGCTCAGCTGTAATGCGCCATGCTGTGGGCCATATGAGCATGAGTACCTTGTCTGAAGGGCTGGGGATATTCGTGAATGTACTGTGATGCCATATGAGCAAGTATCATATTCGTGCCCTTCGCCCTTTGATGCTCTGATCACTCTTGGCAGGCTCTGAGTGGACCCTCCTCGCCTCTTTCTTCCACCCACCCGCCACGCCCCCCACCACCACCATTGCTGCCGCCTCCTCCCCCTCCGCGGCTTCTCTATGTGCTCGTGAGAGGGCGGAGGGGCAGCGAGGGGGAGGGGAGGGGCCACACGGGGTGGTATTCCTCCACGCCATGCACCTGCTGCACTGCTTCCCTCTCCCGCTCCCACACTCCACTCCCCTCTGCTGCCCCACCCCCACCTCGGCTGCCTCTGCTGCCTCCTCCTCTTGCGCCTCCTCTCCCCCGGCCACCCCCCCATGCACCTCACTGAGCGTCCTCATTGACTGGTGCCTGCCTCGTGCACTCCACTGCTCGCTCCTGCCCTCTCAAGGTGCTTTCTCGCCTACCCTCCACGCCACTCACATGTCCTTCTTCCCCCTTCCTCTCTCCCTCCTCCCTCACCTCCCCTCCTACTCCCTCCCTGCTTTCCTCCCACTCAAGCTCTCTCCATGCGTACCAGACTGCTGTAAATTCAGATGTCATCCCTTTCCTTCTAGCCCTGCTATCCTTGCAGCCAGCCCTGCCTTTCCTGCACCCATGCCTCATCCCGCCAGTGTCACCACTCTCTGCTGTTGCCACAACTGTTGCCGTTCAGCATTACATTCTCATCCCCATCCTTTTCCTGCTTTCTGATCCCTCTTCCTCTTCCTCTCCCCCTGCTCCCGGCCCTCTCCCCTCTCCCCACCCTGCAGCCCATGCCATCACGCTCCATGCATACCTCTCCCTCTCCACTGCTCCGCCACACACTCACTCCACATCTATCCCCTCGTCACTGCAGTGGGAGGGGGCGGGCAGGTTGCTGCTGCCAACCCATGCCTTGCACACTTGCAGCCACCACACGTCGGGCACTCGCACACACACAGGCACAGGCACAAGCACACATGCATGCAGAGGCATTCACACTCATGCATCCACAGGCACAGGCACACGTGCATGCAACGACAGCAGCACCCCTGCTTGCGCATGTGCACGCCACACATGTTCCGCACGCCCCTTTCCACCGCATCTGCTCAGTGACGCCTTGGCAGACATCACCCTCTTCTCAAGGTACCTGCCTGCCTGCCTTCATCCAGCCCCTCTCCCTCCCCCAAACCTCTCCCGCCCCTGCCTCCCTCCCCACCCCCTCCTTCCAACCGTGCACACCATGCACCATCCGTGTATGATACGTGGCAGAAGCTTGTTTCCACGCTTGCTCTCTACCATCATGCGTTACATCGCATTCCATTTTCTCAAATTTTGAGGCACCTCAAACATCGCATGTCCATTCACTCAAATTTTGAGGCGCCTCAAACATCGCATGTCCATTCACTCAACTGGCCGTTTCTGAAATTCCATAGCATTGTTGCACTTTCGCTAAACCCTCTCACCGCTTCGCACCGCTTCCCCTGATCTCGCGTTTGCCCCCTCCTCTTGCCCCTGTCTGACGCAGCCGTGGGTGTGTGTTGCTGGGGCGGGCAGCAGTGGAGGTGTGGGAGACAGAGGAGGAACAGGAGGAGGGGGAGGAGGATGCAGAAAGTCACTCACATCTGCCTACACTGTGGGGAGATGAGCGAACGGATGGGAATGGGGTGAGCAGTGGGACAGAAGGGAACAATGGAGGTGGGGGGAGTGATGGGGAAGAAGGGAGCGAGGGGGGTGGCACTGGGAGCATGGCATGGCGGCTGCTGTTTGTACCTGATGGTACAGACGAGCCTCTCTCTGCCAATGGAGTCACCATTGAATGGCGGGCGTCAAGGGGGGCGATGGGAGGTGCGGGAGGAGGTGGGGAAACGATAGGAGGCGTTGAAGCACGAGCAGGGGGGGGAGGAGGAGGAAGAGGGGAGGAAGGATTTAGGATAGGGGGTGGGGAAGGTAGGGGGAGAGATAGTGGGAAGGAGGCAGGTGGTTGGCATGTGTCACTGCATTTGTCTGCAGAGGGTGTGCGCAGTGTGTTTGGCTGCCATGCATGTGACAGTGCGACAGGCTCTTAGTGTGCTCAAGCATCATAATGCTTGTCCCGTAGTGCAACAAATAAACACTTAGGTATATGAACCATTACTGGCCAGGAGAGACTGAAGTAGGAACCATGTCTAAACATGGCAGAGACTGAATTGAAGTCGTCAATTCCTTGGGTTCCCTTTGTTACGAATAGTAATGCCTGAACATCACAAGTGCACTCCTCACCGCAGCTAAGGAAACACGCAGTAACGAGAACGAATGCGAGGAGTCGGAATTGACTCGAAGCGTCAGACGGTTAGCGTGGATCTGGACCGTCGGAGCAGACGGCATCAGGCAGCTGCAGTCAGGAGGAATTGGGTGGGAACAGTTTTCGTAACTGTACGCGCCGCACGGTTGGGAATGAATTTGAGTAAGGGAATGTACCCCTTAGAGTACATGGCTCAAGCATTTTACATTCACTCTGCTATTGAGGTCAAGGGCCCACCTAGTCTACCTATCTGCGTGCGAACATTCTTGAGAAGATCCTGGCAGCGATCATCCTCTGATCATAGCACCCTTGGGTTGCATTGCGCACCAGGCACATACCGGTACGGTATGGTTTTGATTTGAATAAAGAAAATTGACTGCAAGCAAGCATGTTGGCTGTCTCAATGGATGCTTCACCATAAGCAGAGAAGCCGAGTATCATATCTTGGTCAGCGATGGTAAAGCAGGCAGGCAGTCATCTCGTTACGACAGTGAACCAGGCTTCGACTAGAATCAAGCAGAGACACATGGGTCTATTCTACAGTATTATTCTAACACATGCACATCATGTCATTCTGTCTGCCCTACAGCAACAGCGCATGTTGCATTGCAAGACACCCTCTCACCAACCTTGAGAGTGCTCCTATATGTACGGAATTCCTACAGTAGGCCACTAGTCAGCAATTTAGCATCAGTCCTCATGTGCTGATACTCGTCTCTGCTGCTGTCTCACACTGCGCTGCCCCTGCCCCTGCCCCTGCCCTTGCTCCTGTGGCTGCAAGTGCCAGGCAGTTGCATGTGCCTTGCTGTTCTTAGGAGACGGGGAGTGCTTCGGGGAATGGCTGTTGCGGCGATGAAAGCTCGAACTCGGCACCAACCCCTGCTGCACCTGCAACTGCTGCTGTTGCTGCTGCTGCTGTTGCTGGTGGTGTTGGGTGTGCGGGCTGGTGTGTGGGAAGAGCGTGTGGAGGATGCGGGTACACGCCGCCATGAGGGCTCGGAGGAGGTTAAGGAGCAGAACAATGAGGGACGTGGGCCAGTAGAGTGGATGCAGTATGCGGAAGGAGAAGGATATCATGTGCCGGAACATGCGCCCCACCTGCTTGTACATGCATGCACATGCACATGCACACACACATGCAAGGAAATGCATACATGCACAAAGGCACATATATACACATGTCCACATGGACACACACACACAACACCATCCACATGGCATGCAGACAAGGTTAACCAGGGATGAAAGTCCTGTGCAGACTGAGAGCGTTGTGCAGGGTTGAGAGAATTGTGCAGCGACGCTCCACAGAGTAGCAAGCGAGGAGCAGAGCAGCAAGGCAGGAAGAGGGGGAACGGCGAACAGCGTACAGGGTAGAGCGTATCGAGGGCGGAGCGAGCAGCTCGGCGCACGGGGCGAGTGGGGAAGAGCGGGCCACCGGGCACAGCCATGGAGTGCAGCGCCACCTGCAGGCGAATGGCCGTGGCTGACCGCAGATCCAGACCTGATGGGGGACAGGGGTTGGAAGAAGGGGAAATGAGTTTTTGTTCTCGAATCAAAACCCACTGGGCACAGCCATGGAGAGCCAGTGAGATAGATAGGGAGGGAGTGTTTAGGAGAGTGGACGGTGGAACGATGAGGATGTGGGGCATGACGTCAATGGCCCGCTGTGCTGGAGCACAGCGGGCAATGCCGGGATATAATGATAACATGAAAGTGGTGCTGATGGTACAGGTATGGGTAGGGGCAGCGAGGGCTTGCCTTTGAGCGCAGTGCAGCGGTGCAGGAAGAGCAGCAGAACGGGCTCCACCTTGATGCGCTGCAGCTGCAATGGGGTCAATGGGGTCAATGGGGTCAATGGGGGGGATGAGGCATGGGGGCATTGAGCAACAGCGGCATTGGGGCCTACGGGGCCATGGGGGCAGGGAGGTATGGGGTATGGAGGCATGGGGGCAATGGGCCGATCGGGCAATGGGGGCATTGCAGCATGAGGGGCATAGGGCCCTGAGGGACATGGCGGCATGGGAGGCAGGGGGACAGTAACCCACCACCTAGTAGAGAAGAAGGAAGTCATTAACGAAGGGCAGGAAAAACGTCGCAAAGGAGGAGCGAGAAGGATATTTTTTTTTAAGACTGGAAGTAGGAATACAATTGAGCAAAGTGCAGACACTGTCGAGATGAAAGCAAGACAAAGTAAGGACAGGCAAGGGAAGGCGAGGAAAGACAGGGGGGAAGGCGAGGAACGGTATGCAGGTGCGTGTTGGAGCAGCGCACCTGGTTGGTGAGCTCCGTGACAAAGATGTCCGCTGTTGCCCCGTGCAGCGCCTCCTGCCGTGACGCTGCTGCTAACAGTGCCGGCAGACGCGCTCCTGAGGGCGAGAGATAGGGAAGGAGGAGGAGGGGATGGAGAAGGAATCAGGGGTGGCGGTGAGCAGTAGTGGAGTGAGGGTGGGGAGCGAAGTCGGGATGCGGTAGGAGAGATGGTAGCGAGGGAGGGGAGGGAAAAGCTGGCACCGGAAAAGCTGGGCTCAGAGCAGCAAGCATGGGATGCATGCGGTGGTGGCATGCGGTGCGGTGGTGCATGTATGCATGCATGCATGCATGCACCTGACTGGTAGAGGAAGAAGCAGCGAGCCACAGTGCAGAACATGTCCTTCTGAAACTGCGAGCGAGAGAGGGGCAGGGGCAGAAGGCAGGGGGGAGGGAGGGGAGGAGAATGAGACCAGGGGCAATGTACAGAAAACAGCAGGTATGAGCGAAGGTTGTAGAGATGAAACTCCTGACACCGCATGGAATGACTGGTCATCTGTGCACGTGCGTGACTGTCGTGTGTGGAGGGGTGTCTCTGTGCGTGAGGTGTGTGTGAGCGCGTGCGTGTGGATGTGTGTGTGAATGTGTCCATGTGGGGGGGGAGAAGGAGAGGGAGAGGGGCGCGGGTGGCGGGTGTGCATGGTTGCAAGCTCACCAGAGGAGGCACGAGGGCAAAGCGTTGCTCGTCCATGACAATGCGCTCCATCACAAACTGAACCCACGGCATGGCATGGGAGACACACAGCAACGCAGGAGGAGGAGAGTTAAAACGAGAGGAGGGTGAAGAAGATAGCAGTGGGAGGGACGGCCGGACTGTGCAAGAGAGGAGCGGGTGGGAGGATAAAGGGATGCGAGATTTGAAACGACATGCTTTGAGATGTCCGTGCTTCAGGCAACAACAAGACTGGGTTGCAGGCTCGCACTGAGCAGTGGACACAGAGTGAGGAGCAAGTGAGTGCACGTGTGTATGCGGCGGTGTGTGGGTACGGGCATGTGTGTGTTCCGATCAGGACCAACGCGCACATTGAAGAGAGGGCGAAAACGCTGCTCATTGCTCTGCAGGTCAATCCTGGCATGGCACGCAGCACGCAGCACAGGTCGAACGGGAGGGAGAATGGAAGGTCAGAAACACATTTCAGAGTCACCGCAACAGACAACAGCTGGTAGAGGCAAGTCTGAGGTGGTGGCACGAGGTTGTGGGCGCACACTAGTGTAGAGAGTGCCATGGTGGGGGAGAGGGCATGGTTGCAAGAGAAATGAGTGTGCATCGGTGCATGGATGCATGGGTGCATGGGTGCATGCATGGTGCATGGGTGCATGCATGGGTGCATGCATGGTGCATGGGTGCATGCATGGGTGCATGCATGGGTGCATGCATGGGTGCATGCATGGGTGCATGCATGGGTGCATGCATGGGTGCATGCATGGGTGCATGCATGGGTGCATGCATGGTTGTATGCGTGGGTGCGTGGGTTCGTGGGTGCATGGGTGCATGAATGCATGCATGGGTGCATGCATGGGTGCCAGGCGGCGTCGCACCAGAAGATGCCTTCGACGCCGGTCATGAAGGCGCGTGTGTACCGGTGCACCTCCTCTGAATGCGGCTTCGGTGAACTGTACAGCTGCTCACAGCCACGCAAGGCAGGCAAGATAGGGATAATGAGAGAGGATTGAGGGGGAGGAAGCGGGGTGGGAGGGGAAGGGGAAACGCTTAGAGAAGGAGAGACAGAGTGATGCATTTGATATGAAAACGGAAACTTGGGGGAAACATGCAGTCTGGAGTGGCACAGCGAGAGGTACAATGCAAAGAAAAGCACACATGTGCCACGTCCTGGCAAAGAAAAGGGGAGGGCAGTGAGGCTTACCCATCTGTGGAGCAGCAGGGCGAAGATTTGCGAGGAGAAGACGCAGCTCCAGAGGGGCGCGAAGAGCGGCAGCAGCGCCGCCACTGACGCCTCGCTCTCCGCGTAGTGCTGCGCCAACACCTCGTAGAAACACACTCGCTCACAATCCCCTCCTGCCGCCACACCCCGCAACCCCTCCTGCTGCTGCTGCTGCTGCTGCTGCTGCTGCTGCTGCTGCTGCTGCTGCTGCTGCTGCTGGTGCCAGGGCTTGTTCCCCTGGTCCTCTCCCTGCGCTGCCCCGTGCTGCTGCTTCTCCTGCGGCAGCAGCAGCAGGCGGGGGTCCGGCGCAGTGGCGGCCCCGGGGAACGGCGCGAGCACGGCCGTGGCGGAAAAGGCGGGCGCGAGGGCGGGGTGCGCGGCGGCGCAGAGGGAGGAGAGGGAGGCGGAGGGGTCGCGGAGCAGCACGTCGTGCGCGTGGCCGTCGAGCTCGAACGCGATGTCCGTGAACAGCTGCCGCAGCACGCCCGCTCGCTGGGAAGGGGACTCCACCGCCTGGTGGGGGGGGCGCGGGGAGGGAAGAGGGGCGGACGGGAGAGGGAAGGGGGTTGGTCGAGCTCGAACGCGATGTCCGTGAACAGCTGCCGCAGCACGCCCGCGCGCTGCGACAGCGACTCCAGCGCCTGGTGGGGGGGGGGGGGAGCGGTTTGGCAGAAGGCGTGGGGAGAGCAGCGGGCGGGAGGGAGGGGGCGGGTGGGGAGGGGGGGTGTGCGGGGCGCGGAAGAGGTGGTTTACGAGGCAGCGTTGAGAGGGAGGGAAGGGATTCGAGGAGGCATGGAACGGCAGATGTGGGCGCGTGTGAGCGGAATGGGTAGGTCCGAGAGGTAAGCGATGCGCGGTGCGTTGGGCATGCGAGGCTGGTTGCTGATTGAAAACCAACGACCGACTAGGGAAGAATCCCGCCGAGCGCAGTGCGGCAAGAACTTCCCTACGAAGCGCGGATCAGAGGAGGGAAGTTCTCAGATAAGCAGCCCCAAAGCCAGGACCAGTACGGGTAGACCGTAGAGCAGAGCGTGTTGTGAGCGTGTTTCTGGACGCCAGTACTTCAAACACACCTTTCTGAGCTTGCGCTGCACTTGCTCCACGAGGCCTCGCCTCACCGCCACCTCCAGCACCTCGCCTCGCCACACCCCCGCTTTCCGCGCGCTCCTCTGCTCCTCCGCATCCGCCTCCATGACTCCTTCGCCCTCCTCCCCCACCACACACAGCGGCCTCTGCTGCTGCTCCTCCCACTCTTCTTCCTCCTCATCTTCATCCTCCCCCGTTTCACCGTCTCGTACCCCCTCGCCTCCTTGCGCCGATCGTGCGCCCGCTTGTGCGCCCATACCCACACTCGCAAACGCCCCCTGTTCGGTATGACTAACTGCGGATTCTGTATTCGCCTTGTCGCTACCCGTCCTTGCGCGTTCGCCTGTCCCTCTTGTTGAGGTTTCCGCTGCTGCTGCTGCGGCCTCTACTGGCGTTTCTGCGATCTCAACGCTCTCTACCGCGCTCGGCGCACCCGCGAGCTTGCCACCTTCCGCCTTGTCACGCGCGCACTGCTGCGCGCTAGCTTCGGTGCTGCTGCTGCGGGGAGCCGCATCCGCGCGTGCTGCCGCGGTCAGCGCAGCCGCAAACCCCGGGTAAGGGCCCATGTCATCGCGACACGCGCTCTTCACAGGAGGAGGACCCGACGCGGCCCCGCACAAATGGCCTGGAGACGTCTGCGGAGCCAGCGGTGTGGTTGACGCTAACGCTAACGTTGACGCCGACGGAGGTACGAAGCCTAAGCGCGCGAATGCACCGCCGGATTTGCGCGAATTGAATTGGCAGGAAGAAAGATGGCAGAAAGATTTGCGGGAAAGCGCACGCGATGCTGATAGATCAAGGAAGTGTATCGTAAACAAGGAAAGTTCTGACACGCGTAATAATTGCAGCCGCAACGACCTACGCGGCAGACGAATAGAGCGTCGAAGTCAGACTGGCGGGCGTCACCGCAGGTGGAAGATCACGCGTGCTGAGGGATGGAGAGTGGGTGACCCGACAAAAAGGCTAGGTGCTTGCTGCTGACACACAACGTCGAGGCACTCAGTAGAACAGAAGGAAAGAGAGAAAAAGAATTGGCGGAACCAGGGTGAAGCCAAGCTACAAAAGCCAGGGAGCTTGGCGGGCTGAGGCTCGTGGCCAAGGTATGACTAGCGGCCTAGGGGGAAGTGATGGGTTAGACAGGTGTTGTGTTGGTCTGGCGTGTAATATTGGAGGGAGGAAAGAGAGGCGGGAGAGTGGGATGGATGGATGAGGGCTGACCTGGTAATGGCCTGTGATGACCGAGCACGCTGTGTGCAAGTCATGATGCTTGCCCTGCTCACTCGCTCCTGACGCCATTCGACAAGGCACGTTGTACTCTCGTGGCTTGGAAGACGTGGTTAGCGATGAAATGCGTTAGGGTGCTTTGTGAAGCATTGCAGTGTGGTTGGGTGGGTATGTACCCGAATCAGGTTCGGCGGGAAAGGTACGGGAGTCAGGTTGGGAAGGAGGGAGGTGGGTTTTGATGGTTGACAGTAGTGGCCGGGGTGCACTGGCGGCCAGCGAATCAGCGAACCACATTGATTTCGTCGATAGGCACGGACGGACGGATGTAATGTCACACGATCGGATCACATCATCCCGCCCTGGACGCCCTGCCACAAAAGCCTGTCATCTGATATACTCGCTTCTGTCAACCCCTTTGATAGAAGTAGATATGGGCGTCTCATTATATCAAGTTTAAAGGTGAAGGTATTTTTGTAACAATGTGCGACTCCTGGTCGTGATCTCAAGTGCCCACTGCAGTGAACGACCCGCAGATTCTGACACTACAATCCTTCCATGTAGCGTTCTCACACATCCTCTGAGATTCACGAGTTCCAGCGTAAGGCTAGATCCGAGTTAGCAGCTAGCCCGCGTCCGGCGGTCTGACATTCCGCAATCATGATGAATATATTCCGGCTTGCGGGTGATATGACCCACCTGATGAGTATAGTGGTGCTGCTTCTGAAAATAATGACAATGAAATCTTGTGCTGGTGAGCCACTGGCCGTGTTTGGGAGGATCTGGGGTTCCAGGGTTCTCCGTCTCACTCCCTTTCATCTACTCCCATTGCCGCAGGAATTTCGCTGAAGACTCAGGAGCTGTACGTCATCATTTTTGTGACTAGATACTTGGATCTTCTATACTCCTTCATCTCCGTTTATAACACAATGATGAAGCTCATATTTCTTTCGAGCACGGTTGCAATCGTCTACTACATGCGCTACGACAAAGTGGTGCGGCAGAAATATGACAAGGATCATGATACCTTCCGTCACATCTTCCTTGTCGTCCCGTGTTTCGTGCTCGCATTGCTCGTGAACAAGAAATTCACCTTCACAGAGGTATGGGTTGGCGGGAAAGCTGGTTTTTTAGGTAGCATTTGCCTTTTTAACTAAATTTAACGTCCTCCTTCGGTATTCCAGGTTCTTTGGGCGTTTTCGATATATCTGGAAGCAGTCGCCATTCTCCCGCAGCTTGTGCTTCTTCAAAGGACAAAGAATATTGACAATCTAACAGGAAATTACGTCTTTTTCCTCGGGTGAGGCACCAGAACTATTGTACGCTCGCTGTTTTGGTGTTGATCCCCTGGTGCTGACTTTTGATGGCTGTCGTATTTGCAGTGCTTACCGTTCCCTTTACATCCTGAACTGGATATACCGCTATATGACTGAGAAGCACTACCGCCAATGGATTGGTAAGCATTGGGAGTACCTTGTGTCTGCCGAATTTCTATGCGTGTCTTCTCACCACCATCCCTTCTGTTTGCAGTCTGGATTTCGGGACTTGTTCAGACAGCCCTCTATGCTGACTTCTTCTATTACTACATCATCAGGTTCGCTGGTCTTGTTGTGTTTGAAGTTCGTTTTTGTTGCGGGAATCTTGTGATGGACGTCTGTGGTGTGTTTCTTGCAGCTGGAAGAACAACCAACGTCTGAGTCTTCCTGCCTAAACGACCTAGCTTACATCAGAATACGCCTTTCAGGTCCGATCATGTGAACTTGTCTTATAATATACTAGGCATGTGACCTGATTCAGAAATTACTGATTTGTCTTTCAACCCTTTTTACGAAAGTCCTTTATTTTTTTTTATCCAAAGATTACTGATGATCTGCTGTGTTGCACATGACGGCAGCAAATTAATGATTTGATAATGTTAACTGAGAACATGCAATACAATAATAGCGCCTACGGCCTCTCACCTACACTGATGAGTGATGCATGGATGGAACAGAGCTGCTGGATGTAACTATGCTGGAAATGTGCCAACCAGTGCACCTCTTCCCGGAGAAAAATGAACCCTGACAAAGTTCTGACTACTTGGCATGAAGAGCATACCAACACTACACTCCTCTCAACTCGATCAACTGCTGCACAACTGAAGGGTCAGCAAGAGTGCTTATATCGCCTGAAAAGAGATTGAAGAGAAAGGTCATCAGTACATGAAGCAGAGCGATGCCAAGGAACAAGCAAATCTCTAGTTATGAAGACCGGAAACTCACCAAGGGTCTCCAGGTCATTGGCAGCAATTTTGCGAAGCACACGGCGCATGATCTTGCCAGAGCGCTGAAACACATTCAGAGGAAACACACAAGGGTAGGGGACAGGAGATGTGGGAAGAGGATGGTGGCAAGAGGATATACACGCGAGGATGTGGAGCTTAGGCATAGACACCAACATCATCAAATGCAGTGCACACAACCCCCAGTGCCTCAACAAGGTGCAACAACTACACGTACCGTTTTTGGCAGCCCAGGAGCCCAATGGATGACGTCTGGAGTGGCAAAGGCTCCAATGGCCTGGCGAACAGCGGACTTGAGGGCCGTTCGCACCTCCTCCGTTTGCTCCACTCTGTGACACATGGCACAGGTACACACAAGCACGAGTGAGTCAGCAGCTGCTGTGTCGTAGTTGCAAGCACTACGTGGGAACAGAAGAAAAATGGAGGTGGTAGTCGTAACTCACCCTTCCATGAGTGTGACGAAGGCATAAATACCCTGACCCTTGATAGGGTGCTCATACCCCACCACTGCCGCCTGCATGCCAGCTCAAAACAAAGAGTTAGCGCTGGTGACAGGCAGCAGAACCCGCACGTTCACAGGCATCCGGGCGTTGGCAGTTCAATCAGACTGCTGCAAGCAAGTACAAAGCGAGCCGCTTACCTCAGCACAGCTTTCGTGCGCCACAAGTGCACTCTCCACCTCAGCCGTTCCAATGCGGTGACCACTGGTGGAGGGAGACAAGGGAGTGGCAGGGAGCACCAGACGACATCAGAAAGAGGCCATGTGGATGAGATCATCGGTATATGGATATGATTCTCGGGATGGGGTGGAGATGTCAAGCAGTCAAAGGGTGCGTGCTGTTGACCGACTTTCATACGGTACCTGACGTTGATGACATCGTCCACTCGCCCTGTCACCCAGTAGAAACCGTCCTCATCCCTGCGGCACCCGTCACCCGTGAAGTAGTAGCCCTGGGGGAGGCGTCACACAGTGGAAGGGAGAGGGGTAGTGCCGGGTAAGGAGAGGCGGTAGGTAGGAAGGGGATAAATTGCGATGTAGGGATGGTGGGAGGTTGAGCAAGACAGGGGGGCGTGACAGGAAACACTTATTGATCATCACAGCACCGAAACACCGCCGTATGCAGTAAGCAGCACAGGATAAGCACCGCAGTCCACCGCACACATGCAGCGGGCAGCACGCACACACATGCATGCATGCATGGCATGTGCGGGGCCTGACCTTGAACATGGAGAAGTAGACCTCCTCAAAGCGTGCATGGTCGCCCTTGACCGTGCGCATGATGCTAGGCCACGCGCGCTTGATGCACAGGAACCCACTGCACGCGCCCTGGGGCGAGGGAGACGAAAGGATGTGCGCAGGGAGCAGACAAGAGGGAGGTACGGGGAATGGACGAGGTAGGGTTGCAATCCGAGAGAGTTGGAAATTGGACAGAGAAATGCGGGCAGCGGATCAATGGAAAGAATCGCAAACGCAGGGTCACTTGCGAAAACTCGTGGAAACGCCTTGTCGACTTTTGTCAGGAGAGACAAGAGAGGCGATGAGTGGCAGGCAGAGCACTGACCTGGAGCTCGTTGCCGTTCTCGTCCAGCACTGCGGGCTCCACTCCAAAGAAGGGCAGCGTCGCACTGCCTGGCTTGAGCGCCCACGCACCCGCCAGAGGAGTGATCTGCACAGAGAGGAGGCATACGAATGCATTAGTGTGACTGTGTGCCATAGACAGAGAGACCGGGTAAGTAAGAAAAAAACCGGGAGAAACGAGTGGCATCTTGTGTTGAGGGCTGCGTGTCCACTGGCGCTATCCCATGGCGCACTGCCACTGACCATGATGGAGCCGGTCTCTGTCTGCCACCACGTGTCCGCAATGGGGCAGCGCCCGCGCCCAATAGCCGAGTGGTACCAGCTGCAGGGATTGGGCAGGATAGAGAGAGGGGGGGAAAGTAGTGACGGATGAGGGAGTGGATGAATGGGAGGGTCAGACTGAATGAAGTGTCTCCTTGTGAGAGAGTCGAATGACATGGCCAACACACCAGTGCAACAGCTGCCTTCAATTGTTATGCAGTCAATTCTTTAACAGTGGGCCAGCGGCCGTGCGCTGTGTGCAGGGTTACTAGTCACGGTGTGTGCAGTCGTGTGTAATGTGCGTGCCTCTTACCGCCAGGCTTCAGGGTTGATGGGCTCGCCCACACTCCCCAGTAGACGCAGCGATGTGAGACTGTACTTGCCAGGCCACTGCACCATGGCAGGGCGAGAGAGGAGGCGAGGGAGGATAGAGCAAGGGGGGGAGGGGGAATGGGGAGGGGTAGAGAAGGTAGAAGATTGCGATGGGAGTGGGAAGAGTTCCGTAAAAGGGGGTGGAGGAAAGGAATGCGCGGAGGAGAGTGAGTGGTAGATGAGTGACGCACGCATGCAAGTGCATGCACGGACTGGACACACAGAAGCATGCATGAATGCATGGATGCGCGAAGGCTTGCATGCGTGCATGGCATGACATGGCATGGCATGGCAGATTGTCTCACATGGTCGCCGCATCGCATGAGAGCGCGGATGGCAGTGGGAGCCGTGTAGAACACCGTGACCTTGTACCTGGTGCATGGGGGTTGGGGAAGGGACGAGGACGAGCGGAGAGAGGGAGGGGATCAGGATGAGGAGACAGGAGAGTGAGGACGACACCAAGACAGGGGAAGTAGGAAGCCAGACCCCAGCCAGCCCTCCCAAAAGCAGATTTATCTCCCTTCCCCACCCTCCTCCCAACCCCCTCCCTCCCCCCCATTCTCTACCCTCCCCCCCCCCCCCCCCCCTTCCTCTCTTCCCCACCCTCCCCTTCCCTTCCCCTCTCTTCCCCTCTCTCCCCCACCCTGCCCCCTCCCTCGCAGCCCTACTTGTCCACGACGTCCCAGCAGCGTCCGGGGTCGGGGTGCGTGGGCACGCCCTCAAACACGAGCACGGTGGCGCCGTTCAGCAGCGGGCCGTACGTCAGGTACGTGTGCCCCGTGATCCACCCGCAGTCCGCCGTGCACCTGCTCCCGCGCCATTCCACCCGCCCATGACGCACGCCAACACACAAGCACACAAACGCAAGTAGGCGGGAAACCACGGTTGGTGCATGCGCGTGTCGGAGGCAGGCGGGAGAGCAGTGGGGCAAGAGGGCGGCGGAGGGGAGAGGGGGGGCATTGAGGGCGGCACGAGAGAACCCACACGCGCAGCAGAGAGTTAGCGATAACAGAGGGCAGGGACAGAGGATGCACGAGACAGCAAGACGAACGAGGTCAAGTGAGCGCATCAGAGCATCAGAGGGAGAGGCGGGGAGGCGGAGGGGCGGAGGGGCGGAGAGGCGGAGGGGCGGAGAGGCGGAGGGGCGGAGGGGCGGAGAGGCGGAGGCGCGCACCAGAAGACGTCGTCGTCGTGGTGGTCGAAGATGTACTTGAAGGACGTGGCGGCGCCCAGCATGTACCCCGCCGTGGTGTGCAGCACGCCCTTGGGCTTGCCCGTGCTGCCCGATGTGTACAGCATGAACAGCGGCTCCTCCGCCTCCATCCACTCCACCTGCCGCGCGCGCGCGCACATGCGCGGATTGGAGATCAAGTCATTGCAGATTAGTGCACGCCATACTTGAACCAATTTTCGGGATTCTCTGGTCTAGTGATGTATTTATTCATTTATTTATTTTTGTTTGTTCAAAAGCGTGTACGCACGCAGTGAATGGAGTGGTCGGATGGACTGGTTCCACCTAAAAAAAAAAAACTGTGGTAGATGTAAGTGCATTGAGGCACGGCATGGCAGTGCATGGCATAGCATGGCATGGCATGGCATGGCATGGCATGGCAGGGCATGGCATGGCATGGCATAGCACGGCATGGCAGGGCATGGCATGGCATGGCATGGCAGGGCATGGCATGGCAGGGCATCTCACCGGGCAAACTTCGCTCTGCTTCTCCACCTCGTCCTGCCACCAGTGGTCCCGCCCCTCCACGAACGACGCCTTCTCCCGCTGCACACGCGCGCACACAGCAGAGCGGACGATGGGCGGGAGCGGGGGCGGAAGGACAGTTAGACCACCCGCATTGACCGTCCCCCGACAGTAACGAGCAACAAGGCAGAACGAGAAGCGGAAGGGGACGAGAGGGAGCGCGAGGCGGCGGTAATGAACGGGTGACGGGAAAGGGATGGCGTGGCGGAAAAAAATTCGGGCGGTGTGTGTGTGTGTGCGTGCGTGCGCGTGTGTGTGCGTGCGTGCGTGAAACGTACGGAGATGGCGAGCTTGTTGTCGTACACGAGCACCGTCGTCGGACGGTTGTCGTCGGGACACTGCGCGATCGCGTCATCCACCTGCGACGCGCGGCGAAGGAATCAAGGGGACGTGAGCGGACCAGGAGGGGCCGGGGAACGAGGGGTCTCCGTGTGCGAGGGTTTGTGTGTGGAAGCTACGCGCAAGACCGAGGGGTAGGTCGCGGGTACTAGTGGATGCGAGGAGGGACGGCGATGGAGGCAAGGACAGGCAACGCGAGGTTAGAGTGGGCCGCCGTGCGCATGCGAGCTCGGCACTAGCGAGGGGGAGCGACAGACGGAAGAGAAACGCATTTGCCTCACCACACGGTGTGTGTGGGTGTGTGCGAGCACATATGTTACGCAAATCGACTGCACTTGTGGCTAGTTCAGACTAAAGGCTGACGGAAAAGGGTCCCAGCTTACAATGGACTTGAGCGCGATGAGCTTGGTGCCGCGCAGCACGGCCGTGGCGGTGAGCACCACCTTGCTGCACGAGTCCACGAGGCGCCCCGCCAGCGACTCCGCGCTGAACCCCGCGAACACCACGGAGTGCACCGCGCCTATGCGCGCGCACGCCAGCATCGCTGCGCAGGCGCACGGGGGAACGCACGCGGAACGGAGAGAGGCGGAAAGGAAAGCGGGAGTGGGAGTGTGAGACTGCTCAGGAGGGAAATGCCTGTTGTCGTTGACCGGATATGGTACAGATATTGTATATGGTATGGAAATTGTACACGTATAATACGGGATGCTGAATCCAGAAAAGGTGATGACGGGAGGCGGTCATACTAAACTACAAATTCATCGACAAATTCAATGTGCGCCCAGAAATACCTCTCAGCCGCTGCGGTGGCCAGGCGAAGCTAGGGGTTTACAAGGCGGCGAGGAGTGTGAAGGCGAGAGAGTACCTGCAGGCAGCTCTGGCACCATAGGGAGGTAGATGCTGACCGTGTCGCCTCGCTTTACACCCACGCTCTTCAGGTAATTAGCGATCTTGCACACCTGATGCCATGGCAACATGCATGTCGCGCAAACAGCGCGAGACAATTGAGTCATTTTGTTTAGAATCTGAGAACAGGCTGATAGCACAAGTGATAGTAAGAAGAGCACACGAGAAAATCCTGTAGATTAACAAGAAATCCAATATTCACTTATCCTCCAACGCAAATCCACGAACACATTTGCTCCTCACGGCTACATGAGAAATCGGAAATAGGAATGCATACCTCAAATTTCCTTCTTCTCCACTCACTCACGTTCTCCATTGCATTGCTTTCTTTCTTTCTTTTTTTAATCGTACATCGTAACCTTTCGGAGTCGTTTCTGACTCACCTGCGACAGCAGCTGAGAGTACGTCCACTGGCCCTGCACGCCAAGGTCGTTGCCCTCCCAGATCAGCGCCACCTTGTTGCCCTTGCCGGCCGACACGTGGCGGTCAACGGCGTTGTAGCACAGGTTCGTCTCGCCGCCCACGAACCACTTGATGTCGACCGGGCCCTTGCGCGTGTCGAAATTGTACGAGTGGAATGTCTGGTCGCGGACAGGCAGCAGCGATAGATATGATGTAAGAAGAAAGGAATGAATTAAAGGAGAAGGCTGACACTAATAAACGGCGAAGGTAGTAACGAATACCAGTAGCTGAACGCACGGCATGGATGGTCATGCAATTCACACATTTCGAGCCCATCAGAGAAAGGCATGCATTTTACTTGCGAACAAAAAAGGTATGGCGAATCCAGGGTCTCACCTCCCATTTCTTGTTCCAGTGGAAATGACTCGCGACCTCGGACCAGAAGGCCTCGGGCTCTTCGAGCGACCGCTTGTACATGGCATCGTACACGGCCCGCGAGTTCACCAATGCCTTCTCCACAAAATCCGGAAGTGGCTCAATAACCCCTTCCTCCGTCGTAACGGCGGCGACTGCTGCCGTGTCGAAATCAAGCAAGTTACTTTCCTCCTCAGACCGCTTCACTGCGGCGTCCGCCATGGCTGACTACCTCACCGACACGTCCAGCAGGAAAAATTGGTAAATGTGGTGCCTCGCAAGGGACGGATGGTATCACAGAGTGGAAACAAGAAATGGAGAATTCAACACATTCAGGAAGCAGCTTATCAAAGTTCAAATGCAGTCCGTCGGACCTACAAGGCCAGGTAATGGGCATCACCACCGACTCTCGCCTTCAATTCCCGAGGGAGACGGCTCATCCGCTGTCCTTCGGGACTTGCTGCGCACACAAGTAGGGTTGTGGGGGGATGCAAAGATCAGGGAAGTCTCCAAACCAATGGCGAGACTCACCTTGAGCTTGCTTCGCTCTGGCCTGCAAATCTCAAGGCTCGGAAAATTGGCCTGGGGGAACACCCCACTACTGGCTCCCTCCCGCCCAAGGCCCACGTATGGAGCTGACCTCTGGGCTCAAGTGGGGGCAGGTTGGCGGATAAATACTACACGTGCAAAAATATCATCACCCGAGGTTCGGGAAGGTCGACCAACCAGCAACTGGTTGAGTGGGATAATGTTCCAAGGCTGCTCATTGCTGCTGTGGCGAGCATAATTTCTGCCGTGGCTCCCTGAAATGACACTGCACGCTTCTCCGATCTGGTTTGGGAGCAGGTTTGATATTATCAATCAGCACCGTAATACACGGATATGATTTATGTATACACCAACATTCAAGTTCTCATCAGTGCCTGTTCTTGTACACATAACCTAGAGATTTAGAACGGTTATGGCCGTTAGGTTACCATGAAGAGATTAATTTCTCATACACTTTACTAAAAATACATGTACCGTATATCAGATATCTTCACATATAGAACTTCTCACCAGAAACATCCTATGTACATGTGGAACCGGCTACGTTCGTGAAAACCGTGCTGCAGTCACAGCTCCTTGCCCCTGACAGTGGGGACATCAGTGGTGACATCAGTTGCAGCTGGTGGTGCCTGCTCACCCTGCAGGCCCAAAGCCTCCTTAGCAGACTGAGCCATTTCAGACAGGCGTTCTCCCATGCCCTGCAACATAGCAAAAACACGGGAAGTTGGTCAATGCATCACCAACATCAGCCAAAAAGCTTCTAGATGGCTAGCCCACATGGTATGTGCTTCACATGCCAACACTAACCTTCACAGTATCTGCGACGGACTGCTGAGCGGCCTGAGCAGTCTCCCTAGTCTTTGCAGCTGCCTCTTCGGCCGCAACCCTTGCCTGCTCAGCTGCACCCTTTCCCGTCTCTTGCGTAGACTCAGCAGTGCGGCTAGCCATTTCCTTGGTCTTATCTACAGTGCCCTGAGCTGCCTCCTGCGTCCTCTGGGCGGCTTCTCCTGCCGTCTGCTTCGCCTGCTCAGTGGCCTGAGCAGTGCTCTCCTTGGTCTGCTCCCACGTCTTCTGAGCACTTTCCTGAGCACGACCAAGCCCTTCAGAGGCACCCTGCTTCGTCTCCTCCATCTTCCTCCCCGCAACATCACCAGCTTGCGCGGATTTCTCACGAGCAGTCTCGGCAGCGCGGCCCGAGGTGTCCTTCATCTGCTGCCCGGTCTCCGAAAGGCCCTGCTTCCCCTGCTCCATCTTCGCCTGAGTTGCCTTGCGAGCTTCCTCAGCGCCCGCTCCAAGCTGCCCACGGGCCTCCTCGGCGTGACCGGTAGCTTTCTGTACACACACACACACACACACAAGAACAAGTTTAGAGACGCTAACAAGAGAGGGAGGAGGAAGCAAGGCTTGATATCTCGGGAAGGCGGCCGTTACCTGCTGGTGGCTGGCCATGACGTTCACGAAAATCGACTGAAGGTACGGTCTGAAAGAGGGAAGGCGATACTATGGCTGGAGGGAACAAAACAACTGCGACGTAAGAAGAAACTACGCGATTTCCTTTTGAACCATGGTGACTGAAGGCCACTACTAGCACTGATGGCGCGCTCCACTTCGGTCTCAAGGAAATTCCGCATGCCTTGAGCAAATCGCACCGCCTCGATACTAACTATCGAGGTGTCTGAACTCAATGCACAAGTAGTTCTTTTGTTGGCTCTCCTAATCGTGGCACGTGTCCGTTGTTGACGTAGATTTCTTATACGCCATACGACGAGGCTTCGTTTTCGCGAACACTAGACAGTCTCCGTGCTACATATACCGTGCTTTCAAAATTTATTATTCGTGTACAATTTTTTACTTTGTAAGGGGATGTGCTCCAAAAGGGGTGTTCCGAGGGGGCGCGTTCATATCAGGACCATGGTTCTGCTAGGTGTGTTGCGGTCTTGTGAGCAGAGGACAAGAACCGCTTTCAACCGTGTGAAACCTACCAAAACAGCTTGAGGGACCAGTGGAAGAACCTCCCTGAGCTGCTTTGGGATTGCTTGCACATCAGAAAATCCACTGAACAGTGCCTTACATTTACAGTTTCGTGACTGTCGCCGACAGTAACCGACCATTCCAATACGACGCTGTGCTTACGTCACAGGTAGCAGAGAGCAGCTGTCGCACGTCCCATCAGACATGCGCATGTCGTGTAATGTTCGTCTGCTTGCAGCCGTGGCACCCTGCGATGCCCTTCATTTTTCTGAACCGATTATCTGCGTCGTGTGAAGTCGTATCGTTTATCGCACATGTTCTTGACTGACACCCGGATCGCCTTGCAAGCGCCGCCGCCGTTACGAGTCGCAGTTTGCGAGTTGAAGAATCGACGGCGCAGAAAGGGGCTTGGCCGCGGTCCGGATCCCTCGCTACCCTCACACCGCGGTTTGGGGTTGGAACATCGGGGGCCCCGATTCGGGGCGATTTCAGCAAAACCAATTGGTGTCGCTTTGGTGACGCACTGAACCTGTGCAGTGCTGTGCTGTATGGTTCTGTGCAGGACAAGATAGGATACAAAGGCAGCCATACTCCCAATTTCATCTCGGCTGGACAAGAATCCATTCGGCCTTCAATTTCTCCCTACTTTTATATGTTTCCGAGCCCCTCTAGGCAACTAAGCTGTTTAGCAAACCCACATTAGGAACAAGCTGTTCGTGGAACTGCGGTTTTAGGTTTTCTGGTTGTGATAAAAGCTGCTCGGTTTCCCGATATCCTGTCGCCAAGCTAGCGTTAGCTGCGTGCCGCAATTGACATGGCATCCGAAGCCTGCTCACCACAGTCGGACTGTGTGCATGTATCAAACATCACTGTCGACATTCGCCCAGGGAGCTGCGCCGCGGAGTCGCGGGATGGAATTTCCGAGGCTGCAGGGTCGGGCAGCCGCGGCGCGGAGCGATTAGTACATCTGATTCCCGTCGTTCTCATGCTCTCCATGGCCGTTCTCTGGACTTTCCAAAAAGGTAATTGGTGTTTTTACATTTTCTGAGTATCGCATTTCACTGGAGAATATGAATGTGCAGTACAGGTAAAGAGCATTCTGCGGTATTTTTTAAGCGTGTGCTTAACTGTTGCTCTCTTTCTCTTGGCATTACAGATGTTGCCGTTTCGACTTCGATTGTACACTTGTCGTCGCATATCTCTGTCTCTTCGACCCTGCATCCGTCCTCGTTCAAAGCGGACCGTCGATTGCTGGACGGCGCCGTGCAGTCGTCCGATCGAGACGACTCGGCCCTTGAGTTGCCAGCTCACCGTCGTTCGACGCTTGCTGCGGAGAGCGCGATAGACGATACAACAACGCACGACGCGACATCCCTCGACGCGCCGCACGAAGGCAATCTCGAAACTTCGTTTCGGGCGCTGCAAGCGCTGCTGAGGCCGCTGGGAATGGCGTGACATGCTGTTGCTGCATCGCCAGCACCGTGCAATGCGGAGTTCGGCGAGAGACATACGCAAGAGGCTCACATACGCTGAAAAGTCACTTAAAGCTGGATAAATTAGTGGCGCTGTACGCGCAATAAGCGATTGCTGGCGCTCAGTGTGCAATAAAAGCAGCGTACTGTATCTCGCCAGGTATTGTGCTCCATGAGCCTGAGCTCCTTGCTTGGTTGTGGAGTAGGCGTTATAGCTTGTCATACTGTTACTTTTATGTCCACTCGCGCAACGTTGTACCTTGCCATATTCATACAGTAGTTAATCAACTCTCATGCCTGAAGCTTTCCAATTTTACTCACTGGTGGTGCTACATTAGTCTGCGTTCTGAGTACAACCGAATGTTTCAGACTAAATTGGGTTACCGAATTTCAAGTTCACTAAGCACCAAATTTGCCCCATTAACCTGGTACCGAACTGTCTACACTTGAGCAAGCACTGCTCATCCACTTCTGCACCCCTGCCACACCAGCACCACAAACCCCCTCATTGCCACAGCAGCAGCACCCTGCTGTCACACTGCGCCTGCCTTTTTCTCCCTGCGCACGCGTGTCTCCTGCGGGTCAAAGCCCGCCTCCTTGGCGCCAAACACGGCCCAGGGGGGAGTGGGGGCCATGTAGTCCGTGCTGCTGAATGGCTGCCCACTCGCCACCTGGGGGTATAGGCACAGGGGTGCGTGCCGAAGAGGAAAGGGGCAGAGGGAGGTTAAAGCGGGGAGGGAGAGTGGTGATATGAGTGGTTTCAGAGAACGGATAAGCGCAGCGAAAAAAAAGAACAAATGTAGCACACAACAAGAGCCATCCCTGTCCGACTACCACTCTCTGCCCCTCGCCCACTCTCTTCTCGAATGGTCTCTCTCTCCCCCCTTGCCCTGTCACAACTCACCAGCTCGTGGAATTTCTCGTAATCGATCCACGTGTGCCACGTGCCATCGGGCGCCTTGAACTTGGAAGAGAGCGCCAGCAGCACGCAGCACGAGTGCTCGTGCTCACACGCCAGCTCATACTCTCCTGCACCCGCCTCCCCTGCTGCCGCCCCCAGCTCTGCTGCGAAGCGCCTCACGTCCTCGTGATACGGCACGTTCTGCATGGTCAGGGATGATGCTCCCGTGCTGGTAATGGGGAAGGGAGGAAGGGAACGATGGGTGTGGATGGGAGGGGAGGCAGTGGAGGGAGAAAGAGAGAAGTGAAGACGCCTCACGTCCTCGTGATACGGCACGTTCTGCATGGTCAGGGATGATGCTCCCGTGCTGGTAATGGGGAAGAGGAGGAACGAGGGGTGGGCCGGGAGGCAGTGACGGGAGAGGGGAGGTGAGAGACGAAGGAAGGGAGAGAATTGAAGAGAGGGGAGTAGGATGATGCACATGGGAACAAGGGGTTGACATGCAGGGAATATTGATTCCACCATGTTACCTGCACCACCCAGCATTTGGCATCCCACCACACAGCCCCCACCTGCCACAGCCCCCACCTGCCACAGCACACACCTGCCACAGCACACACCTGCCACAGTAGGTGACGCCCTTGATTTCAATGAAGTCGGGCTGGCCCAGCTTGAGCAGGTCAGCGTATGCCTTGAGCTCGTCCGTGTTCCACCCCGTCACCAGCGTCAGCCGGTACACCGTGCGCTGCTGCTTGCTGCGCAGAGCCGTCAGGGACGCCTGCAGCGTGGCGCATGGTGCATGGCATGTGGAGGAAACACATGCACAAGGGATGTTTATGAGAGAGAGAAGAATCTAGGAGGGCGGACTCGCAAGATAGATGTGCGATTGTATGTGGAGCGCGGGAACATGTGGAGCGAGAGAGTATGAGGAGGGAGGGAGTACGTGGGGCGAGAGGGAGAAGGTGAGAGAGAGAGAGAGTATGTGGGGTGAGGGAGAAGGCGGAGAGGGGGAGCATGCTCACGGTGAATCGCTCCCAGAAGTCTCCAAAGAGGGGGCGGTCGATGGCCTTGAGCGACTCCTTGGTGCCCGCATCCACACTCACGTACAGCTGCCCGTGGTGTGTTGTTGTGCCGTGGGGGGGAGGGGGGAAGGGGGCACGGGGAAGAAGGACCAAGTGCGGAAGGAGAATCGCAGGAGAGAGACGCAGAGAGTGAGAGGCCGGCGAGAGGGGAGATGCACACGGGAAAGAATAGTAGGAGGAGAAGCAGACGAGGCAGGCAGGCAGCGCAGAGTAATGGTTCAAGAGAAGTTTGAAACAGGTCGAGAGTGGTGGAGAGAAGTTAAAAGCGGTGTGGGGCAGAGTGGAGCAGCACCTGTGTGACGGGGTGCAGGTCGGTGATCTTGTCAGGGAACTGAGCATTGGTGACGAGGAAGGAGGAGATGCGGCGGCCGTGCAGCAGAGCAAGCAGGCGGTTGATGTGCGGGTACATGATGGGCTCGCCCACCAGTGACAGCGCACAGTGCCGCGGCGTCATTGCCTCTGCCAGCCGCTCTGGCTTCACCCCTGGGTGCGAGGAGGGAAGGGGGTAGGGGGAGAGGGTGTGGTGTGGTGGGTGGTGATGGCTGAGTATGGACTCTGGGGGTAGGGGTAGTGGAGTGTGAGAGAAAGAGGGAGTTGCGTTGAGGGGTGCGGGTTGCTGGGCGGGAGCAGGGGTACAGCATAGGTAGGCAGTGAGGGATGGGTGACACCCATGTGGGTTTCGATCGGACGCATGTGGTGGTATGGCGCAATGTGTGACATGCGATGAAGGATGAAGGACGATGGTGTGGTGTGGTGTGGTGTGGTGTGGAGGGTACCAGGCACGCCCTTCATCTGCTTGATCATCTGCACGTGGCCTGCCAATGCCCCCTCCACTATGTCCTCTGGCTCATCCACCTGCCGCCACACATACATGCACACATGCACACATGCACACATGTACACATGCACACATGTACACATGCACACATGTACACATGCACACATGCACACATGCACACATGCACACATGCACACATGCACACATGCACACATGCACACACGAGCACACGCACACAGATGCAT